CTTCTAAATGTTTGTGCACGTCCCTGTCTACAGCCATGCTAGCAGCTCTGAGGCTGCACAGCGGTGCTTTGAGCTAAATGCTAATGTCAGCATGCTGATGTGCTCACAATGACAATGCTTACTGATGTTTAGCATGTTCCCCATCTTAGTTTAGAGTGTTAGCATGTTAACATTTACCAATTAGCACATCTCACAAGCTTATTTAGTCATGAACAAAAGTAGTAACCAAATTCAAAGTTTGACCTGATGGTGGCGTTAGATGAAAAGTCAGAGGATCAAAGTGATTACGAATCATCCTGAAGGGACCATGAATGTCTCTTTCACATTTTATGGCGATCCATCCAGCTATATTTCACCTTGGCCCAAACTAGTGGACTGATTGATAGACACTGCCATACCCAGATCAATGCTGCTAGCGTGGCTAAAAGTAAACAGTCCTTTATAGCACTACAAAATTATTTTGTTTTTCATGTGACCAGATGGTGGAGATGGTGACGCAGGTTGCTAATGGAGGAAAAGTGGAGAAAGCTTCAAAGCCAGCAAATCGTAAGAACAGATGCTGTAACCATTAGAAGATGGAGGATAAAATATCAGCTGTATGAACAATAGTTTGTCTCCATTTGACATCTTTGACAAACCAAAATCAAAACATCCAAATCTCACTGTCAGCCATAGAAGAAGATCAGATCATCATCTTCACTGTGAATACAGACAAAGACAAGAAGATGATGAGAGCAAATCTGAGGAGCCAGGCACTGATCTGCACTTCTGTTTATGAATGTTCACGCTGAAAAACATGTAACAGTTAGCGTGCACACGATGCAAGTTTGGAAGCTTTTCAGCTGACTGGAGCCTGAGGAGCTGCTCTCATCATGTCTGCCTGGCACGTGCTGATACATAACATCTCTACAGCTGCATTTACTCAGGTGATCAAAAAATGTGAGTCTTTATCAAGCCACATATACAGTATATTATATTTCATTGAGCTTCTCTTTGTTTAGATTAAGTTTCAGGTCTGTGTTTAGTTTGGCCTTTTTTAGAATATCTATTTGCTTTCATGCCTAGAGTTAGTACTGAGAGGCTGTCTGTTGCAGAAGTTACAGCTAGCAGATGCTTAGCTTAGCATAAAGACTGGAAACAGGAAAACTATAAAGCCCACTAATTAGCCCATTATATGTTGTTTGTTTATTCTGTACAAAAACCCAAGTGTAAAAAAAGTCAGTTTTCTGTTTGATAACGTTTATGTGCCGGACAATTTTTAAATTTCAATCCTCAGCAAGAAAATTAATCAATGTATGTATACATATCAAATTTATTTTATATTCATACTTGCCATATATGCCCTTCTTTCTCAAATATATACCTGTACTTTTACCTGGATGGTGTTTGTTCGAAAGAGCTAAGTACTGTGTTTATGCTGCCATCTTTGTTACTATTCTGACATTTTAGATAAACATTAAATCATCATTACATATTTGAACTTTTTAAATAACTTATTGTATTGTTATACTGTTTTTATCATTTGTAATCAATTTCAACAAAAACATTTTCCTACTATACAATAAAATTTCACTGGAAACCAACGATCTGCTCTTTTTAGATTATTTTGACACCCCTTTTTAAACAGTGTTAAGTTGTTCAGGACAAGGAGGCCATGCAGGCAAATCTGTAGTCAAATTTCACTCTGTGTAAGGATCAGAGCTGACAGTACCGGCTGTGTGTCTGACCGACTGATACGATCATCCAGCTCAACAGAGATCAGCCGGACTTCCTGAACTGTTCCCGCTCACATGTCCCTCTGCACCATATAAAATCAAATCATATCTGAGAAATCACCATGGGAAGGGAATACAGCTTCCTTTAATTTTATTTAAATTTAGGTTAATGTATTTAATATATTTTTCTTTAAATTTGAATATGCAACAGAACTATAGCAGTCAAATAAAAGTAGTGGAGTAAAATGTACAACATGTACTTAGTTGCCTATCAGCTGGGGAGAGTCCCAGGCTACCTTTAATCATATCTCGACTCTTCCTGTGTGAACAAACTAAGCACTGATCTCTGACATCTGGACCAGCTGTCTGCCTGTTGATGTGTTGATCAATCTTGAGGTCAACAGAAACCCATCAGATCAATGAGAATGTGACATAAGCTGCAGGTCTAGACCTGAAAAACCCATCTGGAAATCAATGGCCCCAGCCATAATGATCTCTGATCAGCACCTGCTCATCATGTTAAAGACATAGATTCTATAATTTTGTTATTGTCAACAAATCCCATGAAAAGACCAAAACCAACAACGTTGCAGTCCAACTCTCAATGCTTTCTCAGCCCCAAGCTCATAGCTCACAGCTTCATACTGAAGAGGTACATCTTTTAAAACAGGTCATGGTGGGTATACACTTATTTTTTAAAGGCTAAACAATTTGCAAAAACAGCTGTAGTTCTTAGCAAACATTTCTCAAACAAATGGGAGCAAATGGTGTATTTTTTGAGGACTATTTTATTTACTATTTTCAGCCACGGGTTCACTGCTCTGGTGAGTATTTGTGGCAGCAGCAGAGTGTTTATGGGATTGACTCAGAATAAACTACAGTGTTCGTCTTAATAAAAGGACATCAATGGAACTCTATGGCACAAAGAAATAAACTATGTCAGGCTTCAGATACACAGACAATACTTGTTAACAAGGTCAATCCGCTGTTTGTTTAGTCTTTTCATGGGATTTATTGACAATGATTGGACTGAAGAATATCCAGATGTATCCTTTAAAGGGACAGAGATCAGAGTTTTAAAGCAGGACTGCTGTACATGTAATCGCTGTACCTTATGATCCGTAAAATAAACAGATAATGAGAATAACAAGAGTTGTCTGCTGTTTGTGTTTCACTGGTAGAGTAAAACACTATCAACAGGAAGCACAGATCGGAACCCACATCGGAAGCCGTCGCGGTTCTGTATCATAAAGTGAAACTGTGTGCTGTGAGTGTAATGGAGGAAATACTTAAAGTGTGAATACAGCGTGTGTGTGTGTGTGTGTGTGTGTGTGTGTGTGTGTGTGTGTGTTGAAACTACCCCCTGTACAGTAGGAAATGCTCAGCTTCACCAACTAAACGGAAAGCCCAATACATGGTCTCTCTGTCTGCGTATGAGAAGTCGGAGAGATGCAGGCACAATGACATCATGGTGTCACGGCACAAACACAAACACAAACACAAACACACAGGCCTCACTTGTAACAGAAAAGTTTTTGACTCTCTGTCAGTTTAATATATCTTGTTTGTCTGTATTTATTTGTTTTCTATGAAGCAGTTTGTTAATTGCTGGTGAGATACAGAGATTCCAGTCAATTATAGTTGATTTATTATCAATATTATCTCCTGGAAAAAGCTATTAGTTTGATTCATTAGTAAAATCATGTTGACAATCTCAATGCCACTGTGTACCTGGAGCTTTTAAAGATATCCTAGCATAGTTATAGTCAATCTTTTATATATATATTTTTAAACTGATATTTAACCTAAATTTCATGTTCTGGTCAGTGTTTTAATGTTTTTGGTTTCCCGCACGTGGCAGGAAGTGACCAAAGCTGTTTTTGTATTTGTACAAGCTTGTTTCAGAGGTAACCAACCCATGTTTGGAGGTTATCTTATACTCCAAAACATTATTTGGCTGTGCAACAGTGGTGAAAAAAATATTTTACTTAATAATATAAATAAAATATTAGCAGGAAAAAGAATGACCTCATATTTAACGATGCTTGCTTTATAAGTTTGACAACAATGTTAGAAAACTCTTCACTGATCTTCATCCGTCTGTTTAAACCTGAGTGCCTGATGGACTAAAATCATTCGTTAAGACGCTTTCAGGTGTCATGTGCGAGATTGTGTCAGGTGTGTGTTTCCGTACATGGTGTGCTGATTTTGTTTTGGAAACAGATGGTGGAGCAAAGAAAGCTGATATGATTTGACAACCTGATGCTTTTTCTTTCTCTATAAGCTGATGACGGCAGGGTTTTTTGCGATGCCACAGCAACCGGAGATCCAGTTGGGTGACTCTGGTACAGTGAAGTCCAGCGCTTTTCACTGGGGGCAGCAAAAACATTCACTTTGACCAAAATATTATTTTATCAATAAAAAGCCTAGTGTCACTTGGTAAGCCAGCAGACTTCTGTAAAAATGTTTAAATGTTTTAGTTTTGGGAGATGTAGTTAAAAGCCGCTGTCAATAAAATATTATATAAACTGCAAATATTTTAAATGACATTAAATCTTTCAGGACTGCCAATTTCACACGTTGAGATATGGTGAAAACCTTCCAGAGAATCTAGTAAGTGGACCTTTAGTTAAGATTGTCAACAGACACAAAAAGTCAACATCTGAAGAAACTATAAAACAGTCACTTATGAAAACTCTACATTTAATTAAAGTATAAATTCAATTAGATACATGTAATGTAATAAAACATTTCATTTGATTAAATTAAATCATGAAACAAAATTTTATAAATGAAATTAGATCAAATTAAAAATATAACCAAAATCAGTGTCATTCAGTTCTTATATCAATTGTCATAATTTTTATATATGAACAAAGTATTTTTCTAGTGATAGAGAGTTGTGCCAACTCATCTCTGGTGTTTTTGTATCGTCTCACTTGGTTTCTTAGCTGATTCAATTCTTAATTCACATGCCATGAAAATACGCTTTAAGAGTCAATTTTGGTCTCAGGATGTTTTATGCATGTGGCCCGGTAGTGTAACTTGATCACTGACGGTTGGAGGAGCACAGACAGACGGCAGAACATCTCTTATTCATGACACTATGTCTGCATATAAAAAGGGAGGAAGAACCATTTACCAATCATATTCACTACACACAAAAAAATACTTCACTGCACTCAATCACAAGACTCAGTCATGATTACTTTGTTTTTATTTAAAAAACAAACAAACAAAACTGTGACAAATAAATAGAACAAATAATGTAAAAAATATAAGATCTGGGGGGAGGGGGGGCAATAGGTTTGTTCTAAGTCAGATTGGTCCCTGGTTTGTTGGAATGATATGAGAAAGATTTCAACATATCTTAGCACCGTGTGGTCATCAGCCCTGGATATAGCCTGTGTAAACATCACATGGATGTAGGACAGACTTGAAAACAATGAAACAACTGAATTAGCTGTGGATCAGTTTCATTTCATATAAATATAATATATTAATTTATACATTGTACACTAGAATGGCTCTAGACCACATACACAACTCAGGTAAACACGTGAACAAAAGGCAGCAGACAATTTTAAAACCAAAACCAGAAGCTGTTGGGAAATTTGAAATCTGAAAGTCTTTTAGCTACACAGCTGAAAATACAAGCTTAGAAAACAAGAGGACTCCGAACAATTGCTAATTAACCTGTCTAAGATATGCAAACTGAGGTCACTTACTCCAAAATTTCTGAAGGCATTGAGATCATTTTTACAATCTTAAGGAGCAAGTGACAAAATGTCAGTATTAAATGCATGTGTGCGTGGGGTTGGAGGATGTGCAAACATTCAGTTGATGAATTTGATGAGATTACAACCCTGAATTCACTGTTTTTACAGCATTGACATTAGAATTTAAAATGTCTACGTAACTGTGCCAAATAAAAGGAGGAGAACATGGATGAGCTATCACGTTAGCATGTGTTTCAGGAAGGCCAGCTAGCGCACCAGGAGGAAGGTGAGTCCAGCGAGGCCAACGCCAGCAGCTGCAAACAGCGCTTTCTTCATGGACGAATCCAGACTCACTTCTCTGGCACTGCGGGAGAACTTACAGAACCCCTCCTGTGAGGAGAAAAAAAAAGTTAAGTTAAGAGCATGAAACTTTGTTTACTACCAAGAGAGAATATTTATCTGCTACTTTCATTTTTACAAAAAAAGAGTAAGTATTAGCTGCCAAAATGACTTCCAACCAACAGTGGCTGAGCTGACAGCTGGTGGAAATTACACGATATATTTTGGAAAGTATGTCATAATCACAGCCCCGTGTTTCTCCACAAACACAAAAATATTTGCAGTCAGAAGATGCTGCTGATATCTGCAACTTTCCTGATGGCACGGCAGTTTTTCAAAGTGAAAAATAAATAAGTGTCAACCTGAAGTTATAAGGGGAAGAAGTGGCAGTTTAACTAGAGATTACATAGAAATATTTAATTTGGTTATATTAATGAGCAGATTTTATCTGCTATATGGTAAAAACCGGGTGTGTCAGAAGCTGTTGAGCTCCCCAGCAGCTGCACTTCTCCCATCATGTTTTCAAACTGAAGCCGCACAATCAGTGAGTGCACCTGCTCTCAGCTCCAGGTGTTTCGCTGCTTTACAGCTGCTTGTTTTTCTAGTCATACAACGCCAACTTTCAATATGGCTGCTGCCAAATGCAACACACTGAAGCTTTGACTGTTACTACAAAGTCCATCTGGCAGAGCTGGTTATGTGTCTGTTGAAACCAGCTGCCAGCTGAAGAAAGGAGGGGCACGGGTTTGTGTGTGTGTGTGTGTGTGTGTTTACGTGGGTGTTTGGGAGTGGGCCAGCCCATTCACAAAAGGAGTCATTCAACTGTACTTGTGTTCAGTTGGTGGGGCTTCTGGGACCTTAGTCTACCCAGAGTCCACCATAACTCTTCCTTATTCCACTACATAACACTGATAATCTAAGGCTGAGGTCTGTCTTGTTGTGGCACACATTCCTTAGAATCTGGCCTATTGCTACTCTACAAAATCATATAGTGACAGCAGACACATGAGACGTGCTTGTCTCATCTGCAAACACCAAAGTGAAAAAAGAGGCTGCATCTAAACTAAACCCTGGCCATTTTTAAGCCACGTTTACACATAGATCTGAATATATACACCGGAGCAGCAAGCAAACATGATCCTATCAAACTAGGTGGTTTCCAACACCAGAGAAAAAAACATCACTTTCACTTTTAGGTCTTATTGGGATTTTTTTTAACAGTTCCTTTAAACTGGTATACCACCCTAGATATGATCAAAACTCTTCTCTTATCTACAATGTTTGTGTTGACTTAAGCAACTCTGCTTGTTTAGAAACAGACACGTTGTTAAGACCTACCCATCCATCATTCTCCAGCATCCAGTCTCTCTTCTCCTCTCCCAGGTAATCAGCTATGGTCTCTGCCAGTCCCCTGCAGTTTCCAGATTCCTGTCCGTGTTCCTGCCCCTGCCCAGGGTCCAGCCCCGGCTTCGTGCCCTTCTGCTCCAGGAGCTGTCTGGCCAGCACCCCAGTGAAGGTGAAAAGGGAAACAACCCTCCCCCAGTTCAAGTGTCCGTCCCCCACCAGCTCCTCCATCACCTTCCTGAGGCCGGAGCAGGGGTCCGGCCCGCACTGCCTCAAGAAGGTCTGCGCGAGGGAGTGAAAGCGAGCCTGGTGCTGCGCCTCCATGTCCTGGGCCAGGCGCCTCATGGCAGTGGCTGACTCGCTGGGAGGTGGAGGGGCTGGCCGGGGGCTGTTGCAGCACAGGAACAGGTAGTCCTCTGCCAGGGCCAGGGTCTCTTTCCACAGCCCGCACGACATTTTCTAAGGGGGGGGGAATAACAATTCACTTGACTTAATGAATAAAGGGAACCTGCTGTGAGGATCGAGTATTTGTACTGCTACGAAGAACCACAAATAATGAACAATTATTTTCATAATGATTTTATCTACTAGAGCCCGAGGTGGCATCTTCAAATTATTTGTTTTGTCAACCCAACAGTTCACTCACATAGTCAGTTTAAAATAATGTAAAACACAAACATAGTTTGACTTTGACGTTATAAACCATTAGTTAGTGTATTACAATGGATGCCTTTTAAGTTTATGCCAACTGACTAATCAACTGTTTCAGCTGTAGACCAATTAACGTTAGCTGTTACTTCCAATCAGCACTTCCAGCAATTAACATCGTTTCCCATTAGCTCTGCTGGTTCAGTTAGCATCAGCTTTTCTTAGAAATAACCCAGTAACGTTAATCTTATATTAACAATGGCCAATTATTTTATGAAACAGTGTAAAACTCGGCTGTAAAGACGTGTCCGTGTATCAGTAGCTACTGACCCGCTCTCTAGTTTCAACCAGGTGTGAAACAAAGCACAAGCTTGACCAGGTAACGTTATGTAAGTTGTTTAAGTGTTGAAGGCAGCTAACGTTAAGGTTAGGAGCTCCGCCAACAGAAATGGCGTTATATGGCAAAGACGCAGCTTGTGTTAACGTTAGCTCTCGGTTATTACAAGCCGGAGGACGACTACGAAGGCTAAATACAGCCAACGTTAACTTAACTTAATACCCTAACAGACAGATAAAATAACACGGTAGTCCGAGAGGTGCATACCGTTAATTACCCGTTTGTTACGGGGTTTACGGGCGAACTTGCAGTTGGCTAGCCGTTAACAGACCGCTGATCTGTCACCAGAGCAATGGAGGACACAAAGGACCGCATTCACACAGGCTGCGGTGAGCTAGCTCAACTCCGGGAGCCACATCTAGGCATCAAAATCCGTTTTGTACCATTGTACACACACAGCTCTTTCACATTTTGTATAGGGCGCGTATACAAACAGGTTAAACACAAGTTTCCGTGCGTAAAATAAACAAAAGCTTACCCTCCCAGCGATATCAGACTGCTCTCTGCACATACGGACGGCGGAAGGAGAACCTTGCTACACTCACAGCTTCCCTTCAGCCGGCTGCTCTTTATCGTCTGACTCCGCCTCCAGTTATGTTGAACATCTGCCCCCCGCAAAAAACCCCGTAAAAGTCCCGTCACAAAAGACTACGGTGATGGAACCACTCTCCCACTTGAAAACACAAACACACCTAATTGTTCACACAAGGGAAATGGAAAATTTGCAGATAGCAAAAAAGGGTTGGAATAAATACAATTATTGAGGCTAAATTCATTTGTTGGAATGAATCGTCTTGGCACAGTATTTGTGCATTCAATTGTTAGTATTGGCCCAATATATAGTTCTCATATAAGTAATACAGCTCTAAAATCACCACATTGCAGTAGTTTGCAGGGAATAATGAACAGTAGAGCCAAGTGTATGTGCGTTTCTATAGGTAGGGTAGAGCTGAAATGATGAGTCGACTGATGGACTGAAAATTAATCTGCAACTATTTTGACAATCGATTAATTGTTGAGGTCATGTTTTAAGCAAGAATGCAAAAAAAAATTTAATAAAAACAAGAAAAAGAGCCCACCTTCTTGTAAAGGGAGTATTTCCGGAGTTTTTGTGGAGTCTTGGATTGGCAATTTCAAAATGTCACTTTTTATTTCTGACATTTTATAGACCAAGCAACTCATCGATTGCTCAAGTAAATAATTAGCAAATGAATCAGTGATGAAAACAATTGTCAGCTGCAGCTCTACTCCAGTGATAGGATTGACCTCACAAGTATTGTGAGTTGAAGATGAAAGCAACCTTTTATCATTACCCCCCGAAAAACTACTGTAATCACATCACACAGTTGTTGAAGTGTCACAGTGGCTGACCTCCTTAGAGGAGTATGATTTTTTTTTTAACACAAAGTCGTGGCTCACCGGAGACTCAGTGGCCTGAGATGATGTGAAAGACAGATAGTGGTTTACAGCAAAACACATTTTCCGTAGTGAAATGCTCTCACACCCAACACATTCATTTCCAGGTAAATTCATTGATGTCATCTACAACAACAACATGAAATGATTACAGTACTTTTTAGGAATAATGATTAAAGGTTGTTTTCATCTCCAACTCACAATACTTGTGAGGTCACAGATGTCACCTTTATAGGACTAATCTAAACATAGGTCTCAGTTGAGGCAGCCAGGTTTCAATTCTGCTCTGAAAAGGATGTGTGCGGACTAAGATTAGTTTTCATTCATCACCGAAGAGTCCAACTCCTCTCACTCTCTGTGTATCAGGATGAGGAAGTGAAAACTGCAGAGAGTGTGCTTGCAGTCAAATGAATGGCGAAAGCAAATGTTTTGGTGCATCTTGTGATATTTATGGGTACTTTCTCTTTATGGCAATACCCTTGAGTCCTGTCTCTGTCTTCTGCCTCCTCCTTCAGTCCCTTATTTGTTGATCGATGTTCTGTCTTTCACCAGCCTCTCGCTGTTTACCTTGGTGTTTCCCACTGGGGGTTTCCCTCTTTGAATTCCAGAAAACATTTTATTCAGGCTAGTGCATCTAATCAAAATAGATGAGGTCAGGGGACGCTCAGGGGACGTCCTGTGATGCCTAAAGCGATGATGTGGACCGCTGACCTTTGAGCATTGTTTAAAGACGTGTAAGATGGAGACACTATCTGATCAATAATGCAGAGGAAACAACTTTAATGTCAATATGATCCATACATGTGTCATGAACATAGTGACACACAGGTACAAATTACATGTTACATTGAGGTAAATTGTAGGCCCATCTCAATTTTATACCTATATATTTTATAATAAATAAATAATAATTCTAGACCTGTAATGAGACAATTCAGTTGAACCAATATATAATTTAGCTTTAGGAAGGTGTGGAGAAATGCTATTTCAAAAATAGACAAAAAACAAAGTTGAATCAACATTTGGTGTGTCCATGCTTTGCCTTTAAAATAGCATCAGTTATTCTAGGTACAAGTCAGGGGTTTTGTAGGCATATCATCAGGTGTATGATTAAAGAGTTCTACTAAACTGGTGGTACTGATCATAAATTCAATATGTAGGTATAAACACAAACATTAGCTGAAACAGAAACAGCTGTGTGGGAGGAATACTACTGTGTAATTTTTGAAAGATTTTTTTCCACACCGGCCTAAAGCGTCTGCACAGTACTTTATATAAAACACAAGGACTTTGTCACTGAGGATGATTTCACACTTTAGCTACTTAACTTCAAATTATGTGTGGTATACTTTACATTTTTGCTCGCCAATTTCAAAATTCATGTTGTATAGTTTCACGTTTTGAATAGTAATTTTACTACCATTCTAGAGAGCAATTGGCTACACTGATTTCCACGGGGCATGAAAATCAAATGGCAGACCCTTGAAACTTAACTTCAGTCACAGTAAACATTGTGACATCACAGTGACAATGAAATGAGTGAAAGCAAAGTTGCTTCATCGTTGCAGCAGTGAAGATTTTTCAAACCTTTCTCCATTGTCATTGCCTTACCAAGCAACGACAATGTTTTGATCAAAGCAGACTTGATGTTCGCTGTGGTGGATTACATACTGTAACTCATGAACGGTCTGAGAGTCTGCTGAGATTTACCCAGTATTTACAGATGAATGGAAACCAATGGATGCCTGGAATGGTAGAAAAAAACACAATAGAGGGTTTCGTTCATGTTACTTCCCCTTCCGGAACACGCTGGACTGAGTGGCAAAACACCTGTTACCATGGCAGCGTTTAGCAAACTGCGAGTAAAAAGGAACTGCTCAAATTAAAGGCAGTCGGACTCGACAGTGATCCTAACTACTGGGAGTAAATAGTTTTAAACATGCAAAGTCACTTGAATGACTCTTTAGGGTTTGAGGATTTCTACAAAATATTGTCCAAGGGTGACATGTTATATTGATTAGTATAATTGTTAGCACACAATGAAGACAACCAGACTTTCCTGCTACATTTTATTGTGATCAAGGATCAAGGTCATTTATTTATTTCTCATTGTACAGCACAAGATTGTACAATTAAATCGAAGTGCATAGTCCTTTCATACTATACAAATAGAACAGAACCGCTGCTCTTTAATCCAAACGGCAGCTTTCTTTTCTGATGACTGTATTTCTGTTGCATAGGACTTTTAGCAATAAAGCCAAAATATTTAAATAAAAGAATAACGGATAGTAGAAGGTAGCAGAGTTTGAAGGGGTTACCGGCCACTGCATCTACCCCTGGTGGCACACAGTGTATTCAAATTTGTGTTCTTCAGTACTCCAGTTTCCCTTGAGACCATGTTTAGTTTTGAATTGTTTTTTGAAAAAAGCAGAATACCTGCCAACATAACAGTTTTTCTTAGGATGATTTACTAAGAATATAGTCTCCAAAACACAGACACAGACCATTCTGTGTAATTTCAAGCCAAGTGGGGTTCAAACACTCCAAGTAGTCTACTGTAACTAATCACAGGACCATAACAACAGAATCATCAAGCCTATTTACATTTCTCCCCTCCACAGAATAAGAGAAATGCACACTTCAGCCATTAGGACTGAATCTCAGTCAACCTCGGTGTCAGGAGGCTGCAGCTGAATGAGACACACGTTGGGTCACTTTTATCTATTTTGGCAAAGCGTATTTTTGTATCAGCTCCACCTGCACATGGGGCTTGAGGTGACAGGTTGTCAGAGATCAGAGTGAACTGAAGGCAGAAGAGAACAAAAAGGTACAAAAGACAACAACTTAAAATTCATTTTTATTTTTCTCACAAAAAATTTACCTAAGCTGATGAGGTTTATGTATATTGAAATGAGAAATGTTATGTTATGTTCAAAGTTATCTCCCTTTGAAGAATCTTGACAATATCTATGGCAAAGAGCCACAGTAAACAACAACAGCGTGTACACCCGCAGCATGTGTGGTCCTCACAGGAGAGGTGACAGTGAACCGATTTACATTTACAAGACAATCGTTGAATTTCTTCCGGTCAAATCTGACTATTTACACTCACAATAATATTCCACTATATTAGCAATAACAATTACATAATTCAGTCATCAAGCTAACAATGACAAAGATAAGGAATCCAAACTCGATAAACTGTCTGTTCAAATGAAGACCTGCCCTCCAGTTATGATACGATGATAATATTCTCTTTCAGAGGAGACATGTCAGACTGTAGGTTTGTATAAACACACTCCTGCTGTAGTGTTGATTTCAGACGTGCAGTTTTGGCAGTCACATGCAGTAATGCTGGTGCTGTCTTCGCTGGATCACAACATTGATATAATCTCTAGGCCCAAACCTGCATGAGAGAAGTGTGAAGTGTTAAAACATGAAACCTCAACATATTTTTAACACCCTTTTTGTCTAAAAAAGCAAATGTAAGTCCAAACATAGGCCTGTTGCATACTTAAATGGAGCGTTCCTGCTTTCAATAATAATAGTGTATCTCTCTGACACTCACTCAAATCTTTAAGACTCCACTTCTCATCCAGTCATAGGTAAGAAGCGCAACTTAACTTAAAACAAATTAGCAATATTCAGATCAATAAGATCGACCATGTGCAGGATCAGTAAATTTTATTTTATTTCAATCATGTCAGGTTCATAAACAGTCTCCATCTAACTATTTCTCCCCTGTTTTAGGTGCACACCTTTGCATATTTATATTATATATCAATAATATATCTGCGATGGACTGGCGACCTGTCCAGGGTGTACCCCGCCTTTTTGCCCAATGTCAGCTGGGATAGGCTCCACCCCCCCGCGACCCTGTACACAGGATAAGCGGTTGACGATGGATGGATGGATGGATGGATGGATTAATAATATATGCTTAATATAATATGAAATATTCTAAACAATTCAAGTTTGGGCTGTCAGGTTACTTTTGAAACTGAATATTTAAAATAAAAATGTAATGAATTTTTTTTTATAAAGATAAAGGACAAAAGATGTTTGCAGGTACACATTAACAAGGTCACAGTCTTGTTTATTTATTAAATACAAGGGTAACACAAAAAATCTAGCTTGTATTGTTGTGTTACTTTTGACCCACCTGTGTGTTACTTTTGTCCCAGCTGACGGGGTCGAAAGTAACAATGTGCCACTTATGTTTAAAGTGAAATTATACGGAAGTCGTTCTACATTTGTACAAAATACCACCTGATATTGATAGACCAAACCTGTGAGTTAGTGACCACAGCAGAAATATATCTCTGTCTGAAACATTATCTTTTCAAATCAGGTTTTTCTGAAAAATGGTACTTTCGCCTGCTCTTCCCTACCCTGGACTGCAATAGTTATAATCCTAACCCTTTCTACAAAAAAAGATCACAACTCAAAGAATAATATTATTAAAATGCTCAATGTTATTCTCCAAATGAATTTACCCAGATGTTGAGATGTGATTTTACGCATGAAAAAAGTTATAAACGGTGAAGTAATGTTGTGTAGGGAAACGCCTGCTCACCCGTAAAGTGTTGTCCCAGGAGGCCGAGCAGAGCGCCGTGCCGTCAGGTGACACTCTGACTCTGCTAACACGGTTCTCATGGCCGAACAGCACAGAGATGCGATTTCCCTTCAAAACGTCCCACACATTGATGGTGTAGTCATTATAACCAGCAAAAAGCAGGCGACCTGGGGGTGTGAGGAGGCGAGAGAGAGAAAGAGGAAGTGGGAAATTTAGAATAAGTACAGAGGGATTGGTTCAAACTGTGAGATGGAGATCACATTTTTCCTTGGATCACTAAAAATAGCTTTATTTATCTTACAATTTGGTATTTAGATGTAGAAGAGATCACAGAATAAACTAAAAGCGTGGCATTTTCTGAACCCTTTTTCAAGTCAACATTTAATTCAAATTAATGTGCTTTACAAGCTCCTTACCACTCAGAGAGAAGTCCACAGTGGAAGCACCAAATAAGATGCTGTCCTTCTGGTAGATGGCTACCTCACGGTCAGCTCGCAGATCATAGAAACGGCACTGAGAATGCATGCAAAAACAGACACAAACAGGACACACAACAGAAATTTTAGCCTGTGAGTGATGATGGATCCCAAAGGAATCAAGACATGTTTAGGAACCCTGAATGTATGTGTTTGTTAGTTTGTTTCGGGTGTTATTCTGTTACTGAGATCACCAGATTTACCCCAACATCAGAGAGAGTCCCAATAAATCAATTGACGTTCTACACGTGCAACGAAGAGGTCAATTTAACAACGTGGCCCAGGACACAGCAGACACATCACAACAAACTGATAAGGAGGTCATATGACGTGACTCACCGTGGCATCGTCAGAAGCAGAAGCGAATGCATCTCCACTGGGGTAGTACCTGAGCACACATGGCCGAGGGGACAATTAGATATATTGCTGCAACCATCAGCTTTCTATATAAAACGAGTGAGTAATTGTGCTGCTTGAACTGCATCACAGGGCTGAGACTTGGTCTTAAACATACTCTAATAAAATAGATGAACTAATCTCCTCACATTTTGTACAACTCAACTTCTCACACTCTTTGACCCAACGTCTCTTTTTTGCACACTTGATAAACATCCATGAAAAGCTCAACATGCAACAAAACTGTATCATGTTTTTAAATCTTACGATGAAATAAACCACAACAATATTGCTAAAGATTTCGCATAATTTGGCTAAAATAACTCAAACTTCAATCCAAATCTTTTCCCACAAACCTCCTAGACAACTAGAAAGCTAAATTTAAAAGTAGATTTATGCACATTCAATGTTTAGTAGTAATTCAGCCTAAAGGTTTCATAAAGTTTTACAAAATTGAAAACATGATATACCAGTATCGTACTTTTAAGACCGATACCAATTTTGATATTTGAGGATTTTAAATATACATATCAAAATTGGTATTTCCCCCCCTTCTTTTACACATACATAATGCAGTTTTTATTGTTATAAACAGTACTTTGAAGAAAAGAACAGCTGATTATGTCTTTGTGTCTTTTTTAATTGTCATTTATCGGCTGTTATAAACATAGATACAGATATATCAGCAATAAGCTCATGTGGTGCTATTTATCGGTCGGGCTCTAATCTATAGTACAGTACACAAAAAAAATTACATGGTGGCAAAGTTCCTCAGATGTCCTCTATGACGTTGAGCATGTGTGCAGACCTATGTGTGTGAAATGTCTTCGTCTATTAAGCATTTTGTTGATCTAGGATGGAATTTAATCATGTAGGTCTTCATTTGTAATAACAGTAGCAGAAGTGGAAGTACTAAAACAACTATACTTCTAATATTCCCCTCAGTGTGACAACTGTCACTGCTGTCGAGTAAACTCTCCCTCTTACTTTGATAGAGAGACTTTAGATTTTATCAAAGAGCTGGACTCACTTTACACAGTTGATGTCAGAGTCGTGGCTCTCAAAAGATTGAATGTTCTGTCCAGAGCGCATGTCCCACACATTGGCCTTCTTATCACAGCCCTGATAACACACACACACATTAAGGGAAAATATTGTTGCTGTCCTATAAAATGTAAATGTTAAATTGGTGTTTCATGAAAACCCTAAAGTCCAAAGGAAACTTGAGGTACGGGTTTTTCAACAACCATGTGAAACAGACAAACACACACTCTTTCTCTCTCACCCCAGAGACAAATGTGTTTCCAGTCTCAGATGGAGCAAGGTCCAGGGACAAAACATCAGCTGTGTGGCCGTGGAAACTCTGCAGCAGCTGCCCGCTCTCCACATCCCACAAGGCACATGTGCCGTCACCGCTGGAGGTCAGGATCTAACAGACACATACGTACACACACAAACACACACGGACAAATGCACCCACACACATGCATATGAGAGCACGGGTACACCACACATGTTCAACATACACACAAAAAACACAAAGACAAAACAATCAACAATTTAGTCAGTACTAATATACTATCAGTATATTTTGTAACATTTTCGTAACCCAAATAAAGTCAACATCATGTCATCATGGAAGTGCCAGCCTAAAGCAGAAAAAGGAACTGCACAGGAGAAAGTGTCATCAAAGAGGGATTGTCTGCTGGAAACTCCATGATGATTTGGGTGAAACATGAAACTATTTCAGAGAAGCTCAAAACAAATGTACTGTTAATACTATAGAAAATAAAACTGCAGGATTTGGTTGATTCTAGAGAAATAAAAGCATTTATTTTGTTAACACCCACACAATAAATTTTAAATATTGGTTATTTTTGTAGTTGTCTGTTCACTACTTTATTTGACTTCAGCTAAAGGCTTTGCTTTCATTTCTCAATTTTAAGAATCTTAAAACTGAGAAATGAAACCGCCAAAAATAAACATGAAACGACTGACTTGATAGAGTAAAATTTGAAGTGGAATGTCTGAGTTTATTTAAATATCATGTCAGTCATGACATCTGATCATTTTGACCTCACCAGTGGCTTAAAATAATCAGAAGAGCATCATCAACATTTGCTTTCTAATGTCTGTTTAAACAGCGTGGACAGGTAGAGAAATGCTGTAGAGCTCTGATCATATGACTAAATCAAGCAGTAATGTCCGGGTCTGAAAAGTAAAGCCAAAGCAGAAGTGCCATAAAACTGTATTCTTTCTAACGGCCAGCCGGGGGCGTCTCCACAGGTTGCAAAAAGAAGTCAGGCTGCGGTCGAAAAGTCACAAAAATCTCCTTTCCTAACCTCCTTTCCTTGACCTCGATGGAAAACGTCATGAGGTCGATGTAAAGGAGAATCCATAAGGACTTAGGAAAAGAGGACCGCGGGTTTAAGAGAATCCGACTGCTCTTTTCTAAGCGACGTAATTATGCGACGGCGGTTGTTACTGACGTGGCTTGCCGTGATAAAACTACAATATTCCGAAGATGGACTACAAAAACCGCATCCAGTAGCCTACCAGTCACTAAATAAAGGACAGGGTTGTCACATTGAGAATGCTTGCTCACACTCACCCTCCTGCCCACCCATAGGCGTATTTATCAACATGAATCCCAATTGTATGTAAATCCAGTGTTTCCCAAAGAATTACAGCGTAACTGTGCCGAGAGAGAGAGAGAGAGAGAGAGAAAGAGAGAGAGAGAGAGAGAGAGAGAAAGAGAGAGAGAGAGAGAGAGAGAGAGAGAAAGAGAGAGAGAGAGAGAGAGAGAGAGAGAGAGAGAAAGAGAGAGAGAGAGAGAAAGAAAGAGAGAGAGAGAGAGAGAGAGAGAGAGAGAGAGAGAGAGAGAAAGAGAGAGAGAGAGCGACGGGGCGAGATGAGATGCTAAGAGAATATATGCGCTGCGCGGAGCTCTGTCATCAAATACGAGTTTATCCATTTTAAATAGTAACTAAATCAATCGAAAATCAGCGTTGATAATGTGGCAGGCCGCCGCAAATAAATCAGTGTGTAGGAAACGCCTACTGTAGAGGTTATCCAGCTTGATATTTGCCTTTATTAAGGAGAGGGTGTCAGCATCTGTGACTGAAGTAAAATTTATTTGCTAACGTGAGGCTACACGCTAAAACATTATCCTCACTTTGATCACGTTACAAGACCAGTAACAGCTGGCATGGGTCTCAGTTATTGTTGACAGTTTAAGATATATGCATATTAGCAAGTTATGGCATAAGAGAGAAAAGGCTTAATAGCCAATGGTAACTTCCCATTGATCAACCTCCTTTATCCGTCATGGTTGGTGATTTATTTTTATTTATTGTAGAAAACACTTAATGGCTTATTTCAACAACCCGAAACATAAAACGGTGTTGAAACAGTATTAGATTACAAAAAAACCAAAAGAAAACAAACCAAAAGAAAGAAGGTAATTGTGAGTCTTATTAAAGTATCATAATGTGTGTCTGTATTGCAAGGATCTTGCTAAATACGGTTGATTTTATCGTTTGAGTTTGAGAACGTGCGCAGCTTTAAAGGTTGCCGCCGCAAGGAATTGTGGGACGGCATTCTTTCCTTTCCTTTGGTAAAGGATGGTCCGGTGTACCCTATGCTAAAGGAGATATGAAAGAAGCATTGAGGCCCAAGACTGCATTGAAAGCAAAATGAGCCTACTTCTCACTTGATTTATTACCTCAGAAAACAATTTCTTAATGATATTATGGTCGCAATCACTAGTTACAAATCTTCTTAAACAAAGCATGATGTTCATTTAGTTGTTAATCATGGTCCCATTTAGACTGCAATAGACAATAAAGCATTGTATCATATGGGATGAATTGCATCCAATGTGCTGTGCACATTTAGCCTAACTAGCTGTGAACTTGTGTTTTGGGTGCTGTCTGTGTATTTGTCTAAGGGCTTTGAGGCTTTCACAGTGTGTTTTCAGTTCATTGTAAGGAGTCAGCTGTTTATTTTTTAAGTACTATAGATTTTTTAAGCCTGTTTTTTGTTAGCCAAATTTAGCATTCCAATGAATATCACAGTTAAAGTGAATTACGAATGCACTTTACTAATCAAGCTCCTCCGAATATGGTGGCGTCCAAAATGCCAAACTCAGGGCTTCAAAACAGCAGTCCACAAACCAATCGGTGACATCAAGGTGACTACACCCACTTCCTTTATACAGTCTATGGACTAAATCTAATGGCACCATGACTGTAGCTGCTGTTCTCCTCTCTATGCACAACATGTATCTACAAATGCATTCATAGGGCAGAAACACACACACACACACACACACACACACACACACACACACACACACACACACACACACACACACACACACACACACACACACACACACACACACACACACACGTGACAAAAGAAAAAAGGTCAGCACCTCCCCACTAACACAGAAAACTCTCACTGTGCATCATGTATCCACACAAAAAGCACACAAAATGAGAAAATGTCAGCGATTCCTCTGATGAAAACAGATTATGGGCACTTAGAGACACATACAGACATCAGAGATCCCTGATGGCTACTGGATTAGAGAGCTCCTGCTGAATGACCTCAGGCACAAAACACACCACATCCTGCCTGCAGAGAGGTAGCTCCAGTTTCAACATGAATGCAATTATCAGTAAGCCACAATTACTGACACACACACAGATGGGAACCTCACTGATCTAACAGAGAGCCTTTCCATCAGTCTGACTTTGCTTCACTTACCACCACCTGCATGTTACCATATATTAAATACATGCAGAGGGTTCATTAACTTACCCAGGGATCCCACATGTAAATGTATTTAATGAGAAAGCCTCATAACTCACACGTCAGATCTTATATATCAAACCACACCAACTGTTGTGAAATACTACAACACAAGACGCCTGTATGTCATCCTAACTCTCCTGTTAGCAAACTTTAAGGCTGCTTGAAAATGTGTAAGCAGCCTTTCAAAAAACAAAAACAAAAGAAGCCATCCATGTAGTCCATATCTTTGTGCTCCATGGTCTATTTTCTTGGTATAAAGGCTGTGAGCTGCTCATGTGCGTGCATGTGTCTTTGTGTGTGTGAGACGAGATAAGAGTTGTGTGTGTGTGTGTGTGTGTGAGAAAGGCCGGAAGAACACATGTGCGTTTCTGTGTTAAATGTTCTGCCCTCAGGTCAGTGTGCTCCACTCTTTCCTAGATAAAAGCCACTCAGTGTCTATTAATACACCCAGGACAGAGGACCATCAGCCCCCCTCCCATTGCCTCTTTTCTGCACCCTCCTCACCGGCCCTGCCAGTCATCTCACTCTCTTCTTCCTCTTCTCTCACCCCTCATCAATGGCAGAGTAAATAACACAGTAAATTACCAAAGCCACATATCTCTAACCACCAAACAGCTGGCTCGTTGGTCTAGGGGTATGATTCTCGCTTCGGGTGCGAGAGGTCCCGGGTTCAAATCCCGGACGAGCCCAACCTGTCACAACACTGGCGCTTGTCTCTCGCTGATGAATTCTAACTGGACAACAAGGCTCTGTTGGTTTTAACATGACGTAGTGTTTTAACGGCTGAAAGACAGTAAACTGCGTCAGGGCAAAACATGAATATAGTGGTGGGTAATATCACACATCAGCAGGTCAGGTTCAGATCATCTGCTGAGCTGAATAAATCCAAATGTGAAACAATAAGTCAAACTCTGTCCCTCCTCTCTGTCTGCTGGGTTGACTGCCTCGATAAGGATGAACTCTGTGAACCATCTCCTAGGTAGCCCAAGGTCGAGATTATCTTTATTTTGTTTCATTACAGACAGACTGACTGTCTCTCTGTAGAAAGTGTTGCATGTGACTTGGATGACACACAACGTGACTTAGGTTAACTTAGGCAAGCATAGTGTCTTGTTTTGAACCAACATCCAATAGAATCTTCACTCATGTACAGAGGGGTGAACAACATTGTTGGGCAGTAACGCATTACTGTAATAACATTACTTTTCCCAGTACTAGTAGTGTAACGGATTTCCAAAACAGTAATATTATTACTGTTACTAATCCAGGTAATGCTGCGCTACTGAACGCCCCATCCTTGATGTGATTGCGCGACTGTGCTACAGGTCAGTGACACCGGAACTTATGTTGTTCAAGTCAGCTGTTGGCCAAAAAATGAAAGGAAGACAGGAGAATGAGGGAGAGAGGCGTTCTTTCCACAGCTCTAAGTAGCTACTGCTATTATTGCGTCTCAGTTTAAGATGCAAAGTACATTGTCGTTGTAAAGTTTGTGCGACCAGCAAAAATCTTTCAGAAAGAAACTCCGGACGTTACTGTCTCTCATGCTTGGACTCAAAAGTAGTTCAAAAGTCAGGAGAAATTGCTTTGTTTGGGGGTGAGGAGTGAAAGTAATATAGTAATGTAACCATTACCGTAACTATTAATATTATTACTTTTTTAAGGAGTAATAAGTAACTAGTAAAATATTACAATTTCTGAGTAACTTGCCCAACACTGGTGAACAATAACCTTATTTGGACACTTGGTTTAGGATGGATAAATACTTCCTGTGAGGATGTATCCTTCAGATATGGTTTGGTACCACACTGTGGTACTGCACTCCGTACTGCTGTTGCGATATTCAATACATATTGCTGTTTAAGACATCCTGAGTTGAGGGGTATTAAACTGGTGCTCACCTGCATGTCCGAGTTGGTGAAGGTGCATCCTGATACATAGTTGGTGTGCATGGCGACAGACTTCTTCTTTGCAGCCAAGTTCTCATTTTGGTCCAGTGACAGCGGGATCACTGAGCACTTGTTGTCCAGTCCTCTTTTGAAGGAGATAAAAACATCAGAGATTAAATGATGGGTCTCATACCAGTGGGGGGACCTGTTAAGGTATCTCTCACTAATATAAAATTATCATGTATAGGTTTAGGGTATGGATATTCACCTAGTTAGATATAGAGCCTGAACGATAAATCAGAATCAGAAATACTTTATTTATCCCTGAGGGGAAATGGTTTAGTTGCCAGAATAAACCAGTTAAACAGTAATTAAAAGTATTGCTACATTATCGGCAAGATATTATCGGCTGATATGAGCTAATTGCAGATAAATAGTTATTTGTGTTCCTAATTTCCATTAAACAACAATTAAAAAAGAAACGGAGAGACGGATCATTCGATCATGTTATGAGTGTTGTTGTTGTATAGTTTGTCCACTAGAGGGCGCTCCGGAAAGCCCATGTTGACAACACAGGTTTGGAAAGCTACAAATCCACCACAAAACACAGCAATCAGCGGTACTTTTGTTCAAAGTACTATTTATAAAAATAAAAAAGTTTATTTTTAAACTTATGTCATAATATCTTGGTGAGGTCTCATAACTACACATAACTAATGTTAAGGATAATCTTTGTTTATGTTATGTGTTTCTGAAAAGAAGATATATCAGATTTTAAAATCCTCAAACATCAGTCTTAAAAACCTCTTATCGGCCGGGCTCTAGTTAGAAGTTCAGTATGCTGAATAAAACATATTCCTATTAGGATCTCATTTAGTGCCACTGATAGCGGTCACCAAATATACACATGCACATTAACAGACAATTAAAGTAGCCATTGAATGCAAATTGAGTTTTTACTAAACAGTATTTATTAAAAAATATATCTACATGAGGGTGAAGCAGTAAGTTATTAAAAAAATAGCAACCAAGGTAATTTAAATTATTGAAGTAAAGCAAAGTCAAGCAAATACATTATTTTATTTGACAGGGACATTGTGGATTTGGATTATAGGAAAGAGAAGCAGTTTATTACATCTAGGCGATAAGAAAAGAAATTCTTTGTACTCACCCACATGCCACAGCACAGCCTGAGGGAGCATAAGCACACGCCATAACCCATGTGCACGGCAGGGTCACCCCATGTTCCTGTCACACACAGATAGCACAAGCACACACACACACAAATGCATCCAAAAGGATGTGTTTGTGGTCATTCATTATTGGTTATACAAATACATTGTGTTGAATAAGCATAAACCAGCACATATATAGCTGCAGTAAACATGGATTTGTTGAGTATTAATAGGGATTATGTTCGGTGTGGTTACGGCTGCGCCATCAAGAGACGTGATGGTTAAACCGCGCTGAATCCTGGCTGCCATTTAAGTGCACTAAGGCACACTAACACACACACACACACACACACTGTCATTACAGGGGACAGATGGATGGATAATCTTTAAACGCATATTTCCATGTGATCGTGTTGCGCCCTCTCTCTCAAAGGAGTATAGCAGCAGAGGATGACCTGCCCACCTACTCAACACCAGTACATATGGGGAGGATAACATGATCATCTGAGCACGCAAAGGAAAAAACACTTAACCTTACATAACAGGCCCGAGAACAACATGAGGTTAAATTGGGCAACCATGCTTCTGAAAGAAACGGTCATATTCATTGACTGTTTTGCGTGACTGTCTGGTTTTGCATTGGTATCATTAAACTCAATCTTCTGATTTATAATTACTGATTTTACTGAAAGAAAATATAAGATATAAGAAAAAATGCAAAATGTTAGGAGCTCAGTCAACTAAGACTCCAATTGCAGTAAGAAACACTGAGCTGAGCCCAAAATTCTGTTGTCCACACAGCAAATGCCAGATCAATCAGTTGTACAAGTTGAATCCCTTTATTGCAGGATTATGGATCTAGTGGGGCATTCCTAACACTGATATCTTCTCTATGTGCGCTAAGCCTCATGGGTATTGTAGTATTTAGTGCCTTTTGACATATTAAAGCAACATTATGTAGTAATTTTATCTTAAAATAACAGCTTCAAAATCATTTTGATGGTACACTGACTTGTAATAGTGAGAATGGCGTCTTTGTCACTGCCACTCCGGGCTGGGGTGCTGGTTATTGGCACTATGTGACATTGGAATCCTGTACACGAAACCTTTTGTGTCAACGGCGTAATGCTTTACACCACTAACACGACTCTTCAGGTACCAAGCTATAAGAAGCAAAAAGTAAATAATGTACAATGTAAATTCTTTGGAAGAAGCTAGCTTGGCATTCTCAGTATGGATATGGTAGAGGCTGTCAAGAGACCGAAGAAGAAGACGTCGGAGGATGTGTGTGTTTACTCATTGCCATGAGCTAAAATAGCTGAAAGGATGCAAGACAGGTTTTTGAGCTGTCCTTCTTTCTGATGGACTAGTAATAACTTATTAGCTGGCTTGCTTTGTCTTGTGTGTTGCGCTTGCTTATGTTTGCCTGTGTTGCTTGAGTCGACAACTTCTGTTGTCGACTCAAGCAAAATCAGACAGAGCTTTAACCACTAGCTATAAATCTTGAGTTGATGTTAGCAAACTTACAAGATACAACACACTTGGACATTGGTAACATTACTGTAAGTGCTCTTGCGTCAGTTGCTGTCTAGCTTTGTTGGCTATCTCGCCACCCAAGTTTCAAGCAAATTTATGCAGAGCTGTGCGAGCGGGTAACATAACGGGCTCAGCTGCCTCTATGGAGATACTTTTAGCTAATGCCAGAGCTGAAGAGACTGACGAGGACACTGACGGAGGAAGCTAAGATGAGAAAAAGAGTGCGACCAAGCAAGAGGCTCCTGTACAGCTGTCCTTATTTGCAGCATTGAATTACACTCTGAAATGGCAGGGACGCAGGATCGCACACAAAAAGACAAATCTTACATAATGTTGCTTTAACCTGATGGACAAATAATTTCCCTAGACATTACGGTAAAACATTAACAGTGGATAGCAATAGTATCATTAAAAAATCAGTATGTTTGTGTGTTTCTGAGTATTGAGGTTAAAGATAAAACTTTCAAATACAGATTTACAGAGGTTTCTCCTCACTTTGGCTCCTGTCATAAAAGTAAAACCCACCAAGGAATATCAGAACTCCTCCAAATGTAATTTTGATAAACGGATTTTCTGTATATTTGAGCCCTTAGTTAATGTTTTTTTTCCCTCTTCAAAGTAATTGAAAGTTTCTGACATTCAGCCCCTTAATTTGTGGTCAGTTATTACGCAGTGGAATTCACCCTCTTACATTTGCACAACAATAAGCACCTCACACAGACCTTTACTCACCTTATTAAGAGTGAATGCATCCCAGACAATCACTTTTCCATCCTAGATTAGAATAAAATATATATTATGGGGTTACATAGCAAATAAATTAGTTGTCGTGTCATATATACATGTTATCAAATTAAATAATAATACACCATATTTCTCAAAATATACTGTGTCACATCTGTATGGTGCATGTGTATACCTGAGAAGAGCTGACAAGACGACGTTTGTCTTTACACCAGTCCATACACAGCACCTTGTTCCCATGACCCTTCAGCACACGTCTGGTCTTTATGGAGAGAGCGCCCAATGCCTCGACCTTCTCAGCCACCTGGTGCACTGAGGTACCATCACACACACAGTTCAGTTGGTTTTGTAAGGTTTGTGAGAACCAGTGGTGGAAGAAGTACTCAGATCCTTCATTTAACTATAAGTAAGAATACCTCAGTGTAAAAATACTCTATTACAAGTTTTTCATTCAAACCCTTGCTTAAGGAAAAGTACAGCATTATCAGCAAATTGCTCTTCTTATATCAAAAGTAAAAGTACTTAAAATAAAGCAGAATGGTGCCTGTCTGTGTTACATTATTATAAGATATTGTTGGATTATTATTACTGATGCTTAAACATTTGTGTGCAACATTTAGTGTTTCTTGTTAGTCTATGGTCCTGACTGTAGCCTACTACTTACTAATATACCTACCTAATCTTTAACTATTCATCATATCTTACAATATGTTCAAATGTTATTCTGCACAGCCACTTAAAGTCCACTAACTGTAGCTGTCAGATAAATGTAGTGGAGTGGACAGCCCAATATTTCACTGTGAAATGTAACGCTAGTGAGTACAAGTACAAAGTAGCAGAATAGTAAAGTAACAAAAATTGTCAAAATTGTACTTTTAATTAAAACCGTTATAAGCAAAACGGTCACGAGTTACCGAGCTGTGAAACATTTAGTTGTGTTTTCCGTAAACAACAACAACAACAACGGATTGCGTTGTTTTTGTTAACTTACACTCTATGTCGTTCAGCTTGCCCCGCTCCTCCTCCAGCTTTTTCTTCAGACTCTCGCTCTCCTTCTTCAGTGACGCCAGGCTTTCCCCCTTCACGAGCCCCTGACAGGCCATCTTTGAGAGACAACAACCACAAAACAACACACAGAGAAGAAGAGGGGAGCGGGAGAGACACGGGAGGAAAATGTAGGGCGACAGGGACGGGGTGGTTAGTTTGCGGTAAGAGGTTTGAGATTGTCCTCGAGCGCGACGGTGATGCTGCAGCGCGTGCTCTGCGTCCGTCTCCCAACCCCCCCCCCCCCCCCCCCATCCTCCACCTTCAAATACGGTACACTTCACAGGGACCACTGGAGCACACAAAGCTTTATGCCTCTTCACCATACTTTAATCACAATTTTCAAATTTGTGGTCAAAAATAAAATCTGTGACTTTTTCGGACCCTTGAGCTTTTAGCCTGCAGGTAGGCTACACTGTTTTTCTGTCACTTTCTGCTGCAGCTGATGATAACTTGTTCCACTGCTGCTTTCTTCATTTGTACCTTATCATTTTACCAATGTGCCGTTTTTAAACCTCTCTTCAGCTAACTTATTTACTGATCGGATTTTGCTGTTGCATGTCCAAACATAGGCTACTAAAGTTGTGCAACAGTGCCACCTTAATATAGAGTAAAACCGCGTTAAACAAATGCATTGTGATTTTCATTATTTAAAAATGAGATTGAATGTTAGCTCAGCAGTGACATAGCATCATATTTGCAAGTACATTTTTGACAATATTTTGGCAGAAATTAAAATCATGAATGTATTAGGCTATAAACATATCCCAAATACCTGAACCATGTTGAATTATCTCTTTTCTACAAGCATATTTCTATTTGTGTGGCACATTTTCTCAAAAGATCATTAAAAAGTCATCTAAAATAATCATTAAATCAAATTGAAAAGCCAATGGGACAGATGATTATAAAAGAGTGGTATCAACAGATTTATCTGCTACAGATGGGGAGTTTTAATGATAATTGTTATTTTACTGCTCATGGGGCAGTTGCGTGTCAAAAGGTGCAGCTGAGTGGAGTCCTCATTTAAACAGACGTAGCACAAAGTGTTCATGGGATCAAACTAAACATGCAGCTGCCTCACAGATTGCTGTTGGTTGTCGTAGGTTCAGATAAAGGATAGGCCTGTAATGTCAGGGGGCCACGGGCCGAAACCATGTGCAGACCTTAATGCGTTTGTATGGATTCAATCTCTCTTTTTCCATTTTAAAAAGCATCTGTCAGTTGCTGTTATTGATTGGTTAGTGTTCAAACTGTAGAAACAATTATTAATTTGGTTTGAGCAGAAAATGAGAAAGTGAAGTTTTATTTTATTATTATTTTATTATTGTGTTATGGTATTATTGTATAAGTATAAGCAATGTACAATCCTGAGTCAAATTTCACGTATGTGTACACATACCTGGCAATAAAACTGATTCTGATTCTGATTAAATTCAATTTGCAGTAGATAAATATCTTGTTAGACCTACACATCCACTCAAATTTAATTATACAAAAAAGCTTTTGGACACTGCAAACGTTGCACAGTTTGCAATGACATTACATTACTGTATGTAGCTGTTTAGTGGTGAGAAGGTGGTGTGAAGGGAAAACAACATCACGTACCACTTCCACACAGAAGGAGCAGTAGTTGATGGCTTCGTTCTTTATGTAGATGTTCATTAGAGGACTGGCCTTACTACAGCTGTCGCAGGGGCCAAAAGTGGCCGCCATGAATGTCTGGTCACACATGGCTGCAGATGATCACCAACACACCTGTGAAAAAACCAGACACAAACATAAAGATCACATCTGCTACATTACATGTTGGATATTGGCCGCTTGGCCCGTGTGTGTGTGTGTGTGTGAGAGAGAGAGAGAGAGAGAGAGAGAGAGAGAGAGAGAGAGAGAGAGAGAGAGAGAGAGAGAGAGAGAGAGAGAGAGAGAGAGAGAGAGAGAGAGAGAGAGAGAGAGAGAGAGAGAGAGAGGTAAGTAGTTAGTAATCTACTCCAGCCTGATCCTTCTCTGAGCTCCAGAGGACAGGAGCGCAGCACGGCTATTCTGGGAGCTGCACACATCCAGTACACACTCAGAGTAGCCTAGATCACAGAGGCCTACGTGATAAACACTTTGCAAAATCAAATTACAACTAATTATTACCTTTCACATCACAAGTACATTTTATCACAACAGCATTTTTTTCTCATATACATAGGCCTATATCAATACTGTATATCTTTAGATATAAGATACTATAATGTCATAACACACTGAAATGTGTGGCTTCCTTCACTTTGTTTTATTACATTTTGTGAAAATGTCTGCAAACATGTACAAATTTACTATTAAATTTACTTATTTAAAGACTGAAGTCCTTCTATTAAAACCAAAATTAGACAGTCTACATATTGTATAACAGAATTTTTTTTACTGTTTTGAACTGATGGGCTACAATTATACTTAGCCTCAATCATATTATACACAAATATGCCATAGATGACTCTAGTTGTCAATGCCCCAAACTCAATTAATCATGCGCGAGCCTATCATTGATGTTGAGGTAATCATGTTTTTTTTTGTGGAAAATATACACAACATATACCTTAGTAGAACCAGGAACGATTTACCTGTCAAACCCCATCTATGCTTTCCTAAATGTTATTTGTTTCTGTTATACGGGCTGGTTTATCACAAGTTGTAAACTGCGTGCTCTCTACTTACATTTGCACAACAGACTCCATAACCTGAACCCATATGTAAACACAAAAACATACAGACATGAGTTTACAAAATATTATTTCCACAAATAGCAGGCACATCAGTGATACAATCTTACCTCACAAGATACTTTCTTCCACTTGTGCGCAGCAGGTGTTTGTCCCTGGAGAACACTAAATTGAGTGTTTCCAGTGAAGAGGATTGTCAGGGAGGTACAGAGAGGGAACAGTAAGCTTCTTATTGAAGCGTTTAAGCTGTGACTCTGCTCAGCTTTTACCTCCATGCTTCATGTGTCCCTGCAGCATTACCTGGATAGTTACATTTACTGTACAGTCGAACACAATACACATTAGTGATTCAATATTTAAAAATCCATAGGATTATCTGTGTGCATGATAAATGTTGAAACAGAAACCAAAAAGATTACTCAGTGAAATCTGAATTAAAATGTGTTATGGTTGTGTTATAAAATCTACCCCAACATACTCTTCTATTTTTTTTTTTTTTACAATCTGATTTGTTTAATCCCATCAAATGTAATCCATTACATTTAGTTCAGATTACCTTTCTTTAGGTCTTGTGATATCACTTGAAAAAACAGAAATTAGTTTCACCTCTGAAAAAAAATAACATACAGCTTCACCAATACAGATCAATTCAGTTTATTTAAGGCCAGACATTTGGTAGCAGAACAGTTTTCTGCCGCAAATAGATTATTTGTGAGTGTTCATTATTTTATTACATCACCGAAAGAATCACATTTTCGCAAATCACAACAGAAGTAATCACTCACAGGAGTCCAATAGTGCTGAATTCTTTTATTTCACTTTTACAGATCTGACAATTTATTCCAAGTTTCTTAGTTTCTTAACGGTGAACACATTCACTAAGCACAGCTACCAGAAACTACAAACAGTCCAGTTTGTCAAATGTACACATGGGTCAGAGAGGGAACATTTGGTACCGGCTTCAGCATGTTCACACCAGTACCACAACAGCTGGGGTGATGATGTTTGTCTTTAACATTTTTTCTTTTATTTAAAATGGCACAATCAACCCTAGTGCTGATAAGAACAGTGGTAATTTATAATGTCTGGATCATATCACACAGCTTTCTCTTTAATGTAAAAACACAGAGTGAGGGAATGACATTTTCTCCTGTTTGAGAGCCCAAGAGAAGCCCAGGGGAACAAGACGCTGCAGCTCTGCTCAACAACATCAACCAATGAAGGAACATGTGTTTTCTTTTTATTCCTCCTCTGAAACTAGGCCAGCCTTCCCACTCTGCACTCTTAATACGTCTTGACCAAGTCTGAGAAGGCTGGTGAAATTCACAAGAGCGTGTCCTCTTACCCGTGGCTTGCATTGATTGATAGTTTTCATAAAGCAGCAAGAAAGAATAAAATCACTGTTTTAGAAAGTGAAGCGCCCGCTTGCACAGGGAATGTGGTGGAGGAAGCTTGATGGGCTACAGTTCATTAAAAAGGTGGTGGGAGTCAAAGGAAGAAAGGCTCTTAAAGGTGAAGTATTTCTTCATACACATCTATCATTTATCTGACTGCATTTTGACTGGTGGCTAAACAGTGCAACCCATCTGTGACACCAACTGTAGGACAAAAGGACGCCTTATCAAAATAAAAATGATCACTTTTAACAATTTATATTCATTTTACAGTGAGAAAAACACTATACAGACAGAACAAAACAATTCCACAATGTTGATCACGTCATTCAGAGAGCAAATCATTCAGATAAGGCTTCATCCACAATGTGCAGCTAAAATCATGACACACTTCAATTTTAAACATTCATGTGGTTAATTCATTCCTTCAGTTACCATCTTTCTTGCCACAACCTGCCGATATGTTTACACAAACCATACTTTGAACTACCTATTAATCCAAACTATATAACAAAAAGGCAGACTGATAACATGTGGTCCCAATGAGAGCATACCGATATCAAATTAGTTTCAAATAGTGCAGCACAAATCAACTTACAACAACATACTAACTTACAATTTGTTTCCGTCTGTAGCTTGTTCCTGACAGAGTAAGAGTGGTGGCATTTCATGAGATACTTGGTAAACCATGGTTATTTCTCAGCATATACTATATCTTCGCCAGGATGTTTTCCCGGCTCTCACTACTGCAAAACATTTAAATCTACTTCGCCTTCTTGGTTGGTTGGCTGCTCCAGAAGAATAATTTTTAGACTTAACATTTAATTAAAATTCATTCTCTGTCCAGTTTTGGTGAACATTCCCACTCTCCTACATATCTAAGCACAAAAAAAAAGACTATTCTCTCAAAGTAAAATATCTGTTTGAAAGGGTAAGGTCATCAGGCAAAAATAAGGTTCACATGAGGGCAAGAGGCAAATTTGGTTGACTGTTAATACTAATGGCACCACAGGACGTAAAGAAGCAAAAGTGCTAAATACGAGGCAGCGAGGACAAAGGTAATGCAAACAAAATACTTTTTGTAACGACATGGGCAGATTCCCTGACACTCATCCAACGACTCCCAACCACACTGAGGTTTCTTTGTACAAACCAAAAAAAAAAACATAATTAAATTTCTGTTAATTTCTGGTAATGCTGGTAAAGCCAGGCCCATGCAGGTGAGTGGAGGGCAGCAGCAGTGGTGCATGCTGTTTTTATACCACGCTGTAGTCATACTGACTGGGAAAAGGGTGTGGTGCAATTTCGCCCTCAGACTTTGAAACGAAATACCAAATATGTTTGGATATCTGAACCAAGACAATCCGAGCGCCAAACAGAAAAGTCAAAAATATCTTACTATGCGAGAAACCCTAAACTTAACCCTGAGGTGCAGCTGAGAGCTCCAGATAATCTGTTGTTTTTGGTAATAAAAGCCCATGTTGTGCTTTCTTGGCCACTAAACAGGAAGGCATTAGGGAGGACATGAGAGGAATCACTCCACAAAGCTGCAGTTAGTGGGAATATAGCAAAAAAATAAAAGCTAGACAGAGCTTTGCCAAACTCTCCAAAAACCAACGTCAGAGAAACCCTCTCTGTCCACTCCGCTCAGTGATACATGGCTTTATGATATACATAACTTTGACAAAATGACAATACTGAAATAAATTATTCCACATTGATAATAGTAAAACATTTTCAAAGCTCTGACTAGAGCTGTGATCAGAGAAGACAAGTGGAGAGAAGAAAGAAGCGTCAGGGGTGCAAAACGCCCCGGTGATACAGCAGTAAGCACGAGTGTAATGTTGGAGTAAATATCTTTGTACCAGTGTTTGCTGTGACGCTCAGCTCTGGTCACAGCAGTAAACAGATTGTAGCAGGTTCAAACCCTTGGCAGAGTTTGGACCTCGCACCTCCTAAATCTCTACTCAGTTAAAACCCGTGCTACACTTCATCTGCCAGAATTGCAGGACAAACGTGAGTAAGCGACATCTCTAATTTACGACGTGACCTAACAAATAATCAGCTGTACCGGCACTCCCTAAACAATACTACATCATTTACCTGATATTGGCATAAATAGCCTACACAATGGAACTAAAACTGTCCTTACAAAGCTGTTCATCTTGGGAAGTGATGGTCCCATCCTTCATTTTGGACACGTTTTTCTGCAAAGAGAAAGCTTCTAAGCTAAAAAAGGGAGGGTTGGGACGGAGGTGAATGCAATAAATAAAATACATGATATATATTTTTTAATATTTATATATGTATAAATAATATAGTACAGACGATGAGATCTGTCTTGGCTTGACTGTGTTTAGAAAGTAAAACAACAACATCCAGAACAAAGCGTGGTCCGGGGGGGAAGGCTAACTTTAGCGCAGTATCACTCGCATACTAAATAGAGACCCAACATATCGAGCTAGACAACAGCTTATTAAGTTAGTCCACTTTGTTCTCACCGTCCTTTTGAGCCTGCCCTCATGTTTCGGTATGTACATTCTCACTGGAGAACGAGACGATGACAGGAAGTACTATCTTATCGACTAGCTGAAACACAGAGGAGGGACAGCTGGGGTGACTGGGGTCAAGACCACTAAGACAGACCCATGTGTCGGTGGGGGGCGGGTACTGGAGGCATTGATCTGGCCCTGTGGCTTCTCTAAGAGGCAGGCGTTTATACAAGCGGTGGATGGATGGTGGCGTTTTACAGCCAGATTTAAACCAGCGGCGGCGACTGTGCGTATGTGTGCGTTTTGTAAGAGAGAAGGTGCACGTGAGTGTAGGCGTGCATGTGTACGTTCACAGGATGTAAGTATTGTACAGATGCATGTTGAAAGTTCAGCATTCATTTTGTATGTTGTGTGTGTGTTCAGGGATATCTTAAGAGAACTAGATAGCATGTTTCTTTGAGACGTTTCAATTCATTTTTTGGACATAACTGCCCAAATTGCTTTAACACAAATTCTAATTTTGGAAAGTTTGTGAAGCTCAGAATTATTATTTTTTTCTCTTGTGATGTGTTTGTGTTTTTAGGCCCACGAGTGTCATGTCACTTGCAGCTCCAACTTTGGCCACTACATCAAAATTGGTGCAGGGCTCAGAACCGTCCTGTGGGGCCTGGGTCTAGACACGGGTGAGGAACCCCAGGTTGAGTGAGCTGGGTATCTGGATGGTTTCCAGGGCGAGGGAGGAAGGGCTAAACGGGAAAGTAACCGGATAAATCATCTTCGTGTCCATCAGCAACTGGGGACTCTCACAACGGTCTCGCAAGCGAGTCTGAAGGGGGGAAAAAATAAGCAAATGATATGGAAATACAGTTAAAATGCAGAAATCTGTCACAGTGAGCATCATTCCTGCTCTCTTTGCTTCCTATACTAATGTAGTTGTAAGAGCTGATTTATTTGAAATGTAAACTTTTTTTAACTAATGTAACTTGGTAAAATGCTTGGAAACCTATGACTGTCTGGAAGGAAGAAGAGAACATAAAAGTAAAACATAAAACACTGATCTGTTGGTGGAGAATGGTGGTTAGAGTATTAAAAGTCTTAAGTTGAGCTCTAAAAATTTGGAAGGTGTAACTTTTTCAAGTGCTGTTCATGCTCAAGGAGCATTCATGTCCTTTATGTTTATACTTCAGGTTAGGGGTGTGACGAGGTCTTGTGCCACAAGATCTCGCGATATTAAATCGTGACGATATTTCTCGTCAGGTACAAAGCTGTTTTGCGAGACTCATGCACTTGACATTTTTCACATGCTGTCAAGCTTACGCAGTGAAATACAAATGTAAACAGCTGTGACGAGTGGTAACGTAGCTGGTAGAGTTTTGCAACATAAACATCTAAAAACTGAAGAGCAGCCCTGCTCTGTTCAGGACTGTGAGCTGCACTTTAACAGAGCTGCTGAAGTAAATGTGTGTAGATTTGTGGTGAGATTTCTGCCTAATCAAAAGTGTTTCAGTTATTTTCGGTTTCACATGCAACATGCAGTCCCAAACTGCGTCGGTTAAACGGTCTGAAGGGGATAACGTTACTTCCAGCGGATTAAGAACGTAATAAGGGCAGGTAGACTTCTCATTAAATGATGACATTCTCGTTATATTCTGCCTTTTCTCTGGACATGTCAGAGAACACAGATTTGTGGGACAGATTCTGAATGTGCAGAAAGTTTTGACCATGAGCAGAAAAGCTGCTGAAACACAGGAGCTACAGGAGAAAAGAATCATTACCTGCTTCCTTTTGTGTTTCTCTTTACATAAATAAAATCCACAAACTGGTGCAGAAAAATTCACAGTTCTGGTAAATAAAGTGTATAATTTTCATATAATTTAGCATTAAAGATTTCTTAAAAATAGTAAATTCGTAAATTCTCATCTCGACCTCGTGAACCTACTCTCGAATCTCATCTCGTCTCGTGGGTTAAGTGTCTCGTCACACCCCTACTTCAGGTACATAAACAAATAGTATGTCCAGGTAACGGTATTGAATTGATGCATCTGGAGTAAATTACCTGTATGGTTCGTATGAATGCAACAGACACTCTCTCCTCAAACTCATTTACTGGAGTGTAGAGGTTCAGGACCTTCACGATCTGAAAGAGACATAACACAGAAAGGTTAATCTAACAAAACACGCATTTTATCTACAGTGGCTCGGTATCTTAGCTTTTAGATTACTGGTGTTCAGACAGATGACATAGAAAGCTGGATGGTTTACCTGAGCGGTGGTGAGGGCCTGGCACATGGAGCAGATGGCCTCGGCATCCTCGTCTGTCTTTTTCTTCACCTGCAGCAGCTGAGCAGCCTGGATCAGGGGCTCCAGAGTCTCCTTCGCTCCGCATGTCATCAGACCTTTGTCTCTGAGCCACTCCTCCAGCTGACTCACATTGTACCTGCACGAAGACACACATCGTAAGTGTTCACAACAAAAAACGGGGGGTAAAAATATACATCAAGCAAACCAGGCACACTCTGGAGCTCCCCTCTGAGCAGCGACGTCTCCTACCTGATCTGCATGCCTTTGCTCCAGGAGCACATGTCCTTGCGTAGCAGCAGGTTGTTGAGGGTGACGGCGCCGATTATATAGAACTGCTGCTTCACCACCTGCTTGATGAGCTCGGGGTCGGTGCCGTGCTGGCACATGGTGGAGTGGAAGGCGCTGAGCTGCCGCAGGATGGAGTCCAGCGTGTAGGTGCCTTCATCAGCAATGCTAGATGTCCGCTTACGGAGACCTGTAGGCTTCACCCCCGACACGCCCTGGATGGTCTCGTGTTCCAGCATGCCAGAGACTGCAGGGTACACACACTTAGTCAGCTCTTGCGCATGCTCATAAGCAAATACATTATCATTACCGTCGATACTACAGAAGCATTTGCTTGTATGGGCACACATATACTCAGACATGAACAAGGACGAACCTATCATGGGCTGGAGGATGTTCTCCATGCATTTGATCAGCTGCTGGTAGATCTGGATGGCCAGGTCACTGATCACCTGTCTGTATTCTGCCAGGTCAAAGTTGGACAGTGTGTGTTCATTCTGCTTTGGTGTATTGTGCTTCATGAAGGCCTGGGACACACAGACACACGCAGACACAGGTTCAAACATGTAAAGATTTTGTCAGTCTTTATCCCCAACAATTCAATTAAAAAGACTACTCTATTCCAGCGGTGCATAAACAGTGGCATGTCTGGAATAATGACAATTTAACACAAAAAACAATGACGACTAAACTGACAAGAATCCAATGAACCCTGTTTAAGAATGTGTGCATTTCAGAGTGAGACAGTTTCAAGGTTTGTGTGCCAGCGTGTCAGTCTCACCTCGTCTCCGCTGTACTGTTTCAGACAGTGTAAGAAGCGGCAGGTGTTCGCCAGCCAGAAGGAGACCGTCTCAAAGTCATCCCCTCGTTTCTGACAGGAAGAGAAAGAACAAACTGGAGTCAGTAAACCAGCCGGTAATAGTCGTAATGTACCTCTGTCAGACCCTCTCCAACTCAATCATCCTGCAAGCGGCTGATTTTTGCATTTTTTCCCTAGCGTCGCCGCCTCACACTGAACGCACACACTTACCTTCAGGATCTTCTTAATACTGTTGATGGATGAGGTGAGCAGAGTGCGGACCTTCTGGTCGTCGTTGACATAGTCCGCGTGTCTCAGACACATGAACAGGATGTAGGCAGGCAGACCTGGGATCAGATTCACGGCTACACCACGAGGTTTCAGTTCTGGAGAGAGAGGGGTGAGTTCAGACTGAGGAGTACATTAGAGTCTGCTGTCATACAAACCTTAACTTTCTATAGATGCTTTTTAGATTTCAGGCAGTAGAAACTGTGAATGAAGCCTTCATATTTTACACCGCGCTGGAGACTTTGTGGATTTCCCTCAATTTGAACTTTTGAGAAATGGGCATCAGAAGTTATACGTGAAGTTACTTTAAAAAGTGGAACTGTTTCAAGTGGTTTGTTAAACCATAAAAGGGCCCTAAAAGGTCCACAAATAACCTCTTTAAAGTATATAGAATTTTGATTAACTATTTTTATCAAATTTTCCACCTGTTGTATATAATTATATTGTTAAATAATTAGTTCTTACCCAGGATGAGGTTCTTGACCAGTTTGAGCTCATCCTCCTTCTTGTACTCCAGCATCCCTTGGAAATCTTTCTCTCTGCGGGGAATGTTGACGGGGTGAATCGGCTCGTCCACCATCTGTCCAGGTGACGTCTGGCCCTCGGTTTGACCTGCTGAGAGACACATGCGACATGACAGTCAGGCTAATACTGTAGCCCTCAAACACACATATATACAGATTCTCAAGCCTTTGCTGACTGATGTTTTCTCCTGTACCTCCCATCTCGCCAATTCTCTTGGAGTAAACCTTCAGCTGCTTCTTGAGCTTGCGGATGGTTCGGTCCTGCTTCTCCAGCTGCTCCATTAGATCCTGAAACCGGCCCGAGGGATGGAGCCAAGGACAGAGAAAAGAAAAAATTGTGAGCCTCTGACTTCCCAGATTGCTGTTGCCCTCCAGTGGTGAAAAGGAACACCTTTGTAAATCACTTGCTTGCACAGGCCAAAACGTGAGTCTTAGAAACAAAGAAACTAACAAACAGGAGGGGTTAAATCAACATGAGAGCTGCTGTGCTGATTGTTACAGGACTCGCTGGCTGTTAGAAAAGAGAAAAAGGTGGCGAGCTGCTCCGCTGCGAGTTAGAAGACGCTGCTGTGGAGAGTTAGAGAGACACCTGGCGCCATTTCATTCAAAACACACAACCGCAGTTAGTTCGAACACATGCAGACACACACGTGCATGCACACATACACTCTGTCGCTACATACAACCATCCGTCGTAAAATGATGACTCGAGCCTCCCTGGACGCTGTGGGGTCGTCAGCCATGAGTTCCTGTCAGGTGACACCAGCCGCACAAAGTGTGAGTGTGCGTGACACAGTGCTAAAGTGTCTGTTTCACTTTTTGTATGTGTGTGTGTTTGTGCACATCACACATCACTGATGTGCATCTGTAGGTCAGAATCATATGGTAGTTTTTCATTGTTGTTTAAAAAGCACCTAAACACTGGAGCGATTTATCACCATTCTTTGGTAGAAATGCTTCCCTTAAACCTGAAATCACTAATGTTTGTGTAATATATTTTTCTTATTTGCCATCTGCATATAAGATGTCAGGTCACTGTCAATGCTGGTTAAGTAATACATTAAAGTTATTTTGTTGATTGTTGACTTTTCCCTCTGTTAAACAGCTCAATATAAACAGCAACAATGTGTGATGAAGCAACAAGTGTCACTTTCTATGAATCTCTGCTGCAAATGGAAGGCAATAAAAGTGTAACAGATTTCACCTTCAAAGAATTAGTTCAACATTTTGGTTTGTTTCCTCATCTTTTCAGTCTTTATCCTAGCTAAAGCACACCAGCTGCTGCTGGCTGCAGCTTCATATTCAGCGTAACATTACAGACAATGAAGTGCTCACTTAAGTCTCCTCCACAGATTATTTCCCAAAATGTCAAACTACTATGTTAAATGAGTAACGGATTCGCCCACCAACCTCCCTAAAAAGATCTGATAGTAGTGAAGGGACAGAGACACAAAACAGAACAAACAGTGCAGTGTGCTAGAATAAGGCTCAAATCACATTTAATGCATGTGAATACAAAATTTAAGTTGGAAAAAATGCTCTCAAATCAAATAAAGAACACTGGCTCTGTAAACATTCAGCTGATTTCTACTTAAATAGCTAGTTACCTTGATTCTGTTATTGTTGTTATATTCACTTTTTAGTCTTTGCAATATGCCTTTTAAATAAGCTGAAGGTGAAGATACTACTCTTCTTCAGCCTGTGTGTATGTAGGTGTGTGTTGCAGCGTACCAGGTTCTCGTTGGTGAGCCGGGTGATCTCATGTTGCAGGCTGGCTTCGATTCGGGCTTCTGGAGGCAGCTGGAGATTTTGGGCCAAGAGCTGCTGCTGACGGTTGTTCTCCTCCTTGACATTCTGCAGCTCGCCGCGCAATGCCTCCACCTCATTATCGTAACTTCTACGCTGAGTCTGCAGCTGGTGCTCCAGTAACCTGGGGTGGGGATAGGGGGGTGGGGAGAGAGATGAGACCAGAGGGGGAAGAAGAAGAGGAGGAGTAGCAGTGTGTAGAAGACAAAACAAGAATGGGGGGGATAGATGGGAGATGAAGTGATGAGGGAAAAGGTGGGGCAGGTAAGAGGAATGCGATGGAAGACAGGAACAAGATGGCATTAGGCCAATGAGGAGGAAGAGGAAAGGTTTGCAGTGTGAGGAAGAAAGAACAGGGAATAACAAGAGAAAGGGCATGAATAGGAGAAAGAGAAGAACAGAAATCAGCATTATAGTGTGAGTGAAAGAATATAAAACAGTGAGAGAACGACAAGAGTTTCCACCACAGTGTGGTGACGCAGGACAGCAGCATGCTGTGCAGACACTACCAGCAGCTCACCAGCCCAACACTGAGGTCAGAGGTCAGGCTCAGCAACGGAGCAGGTAGAGATGATAGAGTAGTGGTCGACCGATTTGGGTTTTTCAATTGCTGATGCCGATATTTAGAGAGCAGGGCGGCCGATGCCTGTTATATAATGCTGATATCAAAACAAAGAAAAGTATTGTATAATTCCATTATTCCACGGGTACAATCTAACAAAAATACACTGTGTTATGCTGTAGATTTCAGTACGTGACTGCTTTTTTAGGGAGAGAGGGGTACAGTTTGTCAGAAGTGACGTCATTCAACTGCTTTATTCTCTGCAGTATAACAATATATATTTAACACTAGCCAGTAATGGTTTTAGATTAGATCTGCTGTCATTTAGTATAATACATATCGTAAGTGCAGGTATCTGCCAATGCTGATTATCTCACAATGCCAGATTTCGGTCGATCGATAAATAGGTCTATCACTATGACAGAGGTACAGTTTCGTTTTTCAGGGAGAAGTTGGACCTGCTACCCAAACTGTTCACGGATCTCTTCACACTAGTTTAGTAACTTTAAATGGCTAACTCTCTCTTAATTCTCCAGAAAAAAATAGTTTCTTCTCTTCGTGAGGGAGAAGAGTGTTTGTGAACAATTCTTAGGGTTTTGTTTGAACAAACAAGTGTTTCTCACTTTGTTTACATCAGTAAGTACACTGTTAGGGATGAAACAACACTAATCAGCTGGCAAATCCAATCCAACATCAGAAGAGAAAACACATTATAGCATAAAGGCATAACAGAAGCATGAAGCTCTACTATTTAATACTATATCATTATGAGAAAGTAAAACAAGGTTAGTCTGCTGTTATAAATAAAACTTGTATAAATTACTATATATTATGCGACATCTGTAGGGGGATTAGACCAATTTTTATAGAATTGTTTTATAGCAAACAACTCTTACAGGGCTGTGTGGGAAGAGAGTGCGACTAAAACTACTGGCAAAAACTTCTGCTGTGCCAAAGATATTGACAGTAACTAAGCGGACTACATGATACGCCAACTCTAACACAACATCAAACATATTTACTGTTGTCCCGGGTGGGGGCCAATCTAATGAGCCCTGGAGCCACATTCATAAAACATAAAGTAAGCTTAGGCTGTTAAGGAGAAAACAAAGGCTGTGTCAGTCCTACTTTTACTTAAAATTTGTATGTTTGTGGTTAATTTTTGGAACTAAAACCAGCTCATAACTTTGTAAAAGGTTCTGATTAGATGTCCTAAAACTTTCCAGCTGGACAAAATAAACGTAAAGATGTTGATAAAGCATGAGAGAGGAAAGAGGTTAATGAAAAAAACGAAAAAACGAAAACAAACAACAGCACACATCCTTTCTTGAGAAAGAGGCAAACGTATCATGCTCAAAAATCATACTTGTGTTTAAAACACAGTTACACCTGATGGTTTCCTTTAAGCCCTGATTAACCAGCCACAGCTCTCCGTCCTCATTCAGCTTATGGAAGTCTGGAGTGGCAGATCTGACCGACACACAACACAAAGGAACATGAACAACACAGTGACAAAAAGAAAAAATGAGGGATGGTGGGGGCGGGGAAGGGAGAGGTGTGCAACAAGAATATGCCTCATCTAAGGTGTCTGCATGTGCGCATGACTGTCCTTTATTCACGGACTGTAGTAGATTTTATCTGGAGTTAGAGTTGTACTGAATGTGTACTGTCTATGTGTACCCTGCTGTGTACTAAATATTCTAAACTGTACATGTCAGTGTGTGAATAAAGATCACAAAGGGAACAACAACAACAGGGATAAAGGCAGTGATGCACAGTGCGACTTTTTGGGCAACTGATGGGTAACAATGTTTCCCTCAACAGTGTTACTTTAATTGTATTGGGAAAACATTGTTGCATAGAAGCAAACATCCACTCCAATTTCAAGTGTATATCAAATGTGTGTTCACTTTGATATTGTGATGATGTCATTCTAGGGTCAATGAGATGAGCAAACTGGCTACAGAAGGAAAATGGAGCAAACAACTGTGAGAACATGATGCATGATGGTTTTTCTTCAAAGTGTGCTGTGCATCTCCGCTTTAATAAATAAAAGAAACATGTTGACTTTATGCGGGATTTATGCCAAACTCATTCCATAAAGCTGAGACAGGAGGCCTCCTACAACAGCATCAAACCCATCACTGCTGAATAGTCAGTGTGTGAGGATCTAAGTGTTAATAAAAGTTAAACTACAACCAAACATGATGATTAACCTTTTAATAGAGACGTTTTTCATGCTTTCATGCTGCACATTTTGCAAATACTGCAATGTAAATAGGGAGTTTGCAGCATCTCCAAAACCAGAACAGAGAAGACAACAAAAACACCCTTGTATCTTTGTTATGATGGAAAACAGAAACTATTTTGAGGCACCTTCAGTTTCTTGTTCATGCTTTATACTCCATGCAGACCTATAAATCCTAAAACCGGACTCGAGCCAAACACACATTCCTTGACTTCAAATACTGGTAAACATAGTACGTTAGAACGTAAGTAAGACCTAAATTGTAGCTAGAGCTGCGACATTATTTGACATGCTGTTAGAAAACGTCACGCAAAGCTACCAAAGCTTTCATCAGCACTACAACGTAACAGTCGTAAGAGTCAGCGGTTTCAGCTTCAGTAGTATGTAATATCTTCAACCCTGTTTGGCATCAGCGTGGCCATGCATGCTCTGTTCCACGATGCATAGGCCACGTCTCATTGGTTACCTCAGCCTACTCAGGAGGTCACTGACTTCCAACGGCTTACGCATGAACCTAGGAGATCTGCACAGGACAAGGCAGCGTTCACAAACAAGACCTTGGTAAGATACAATATTTGGACAGAAGACAGATGATGGAGTGAGGGCTCGGAGTGAATTCAACACAGATGAATGTGAAGACATGGAGACTGGGAGGAGTACTGGCTGCAACAAAGTACCTGTTGGTGTCTTTGAGGCCTATGCATGCTTGCTTGAGTTCATCTGCGTCCTTCAGTTTGGACACATCCCCAACATAGACGGACGGCTCGGTCATGGTCTCCTAGAAAAAACGTAAACAAAGAGAAAGAGTAGCACCACGTTTAGCATGATGAACCACATCATCAGCACAGCTGTGAAGATTTACATACAGTGTATGAATGAAGACAAGTCGGTCAATGGTTTCATGAATGCGAGTCGACACTGCTGCAGCATGTGTGTTGTTGACTCCCTGCCAGCATCAGTGTAGCTGCTGGCTACGACTGTTTTTTTCCCTCTGAGTCATCAGATAATTGGAGCTTCGGCCCAAACAGCGACAGCCATCTATCTACGGGTCAATGTCACTTCACAGCAGTGAGCCTTTTACTCTTGCTTTCAAAAGAGAGACCCTGACAGCGCAGACAGCCGAGCATCAGCTGACAAGTAACCGGTGGTGTTTGAGCAGGGTTCCTGTAACCGCTGTGTTACGCTTTGATATGAAGACTCACTTTCTTAGCATGAACGAGCGACACTGGGAGCCAGAATATCTGTACAACTGTGTAGCTACAGTTCGATGCAGCAGACAAACTGTCACACAGTTGATTTCAACAGCAATATAAATAATGCAACACCTACGTTAACTATATAAGTACGGACACGAGCCACCAGTGTAAAACACTGTGAAGTCAGACCCTTTGGAGTTCAAGCAGTGCTTATGAGTTGCACCATTAATTAAATTGTGTGCAGTCAATTGTATTTGAGTTTTGTTTTTTTTTTAATGAGGGGTGTCCTTTTTTTTGAGTTACTGTCATTTCATGTGTTAACAGAAATCTACAATCTGCAATTTCAAATTCAGCTCACAGAAGGTTTGCGGTAACATCCATCCTTGGGGTCTGAATGTATTACAGTGCTTACAAGGACATATGCAAAATGTCTGCTGTAAAACGTCCACTGAAGAGAAATCTAAGGGACTTTTTTTATAAATGCATTTACCCTCCCAGACAAGGGACGAGACAGATGAGACAATCAAACCACAGCATGGAGATGACTGAGTCTACATGTAAAGTCTCTTACAGGAAGAATGCTGAACTTGCGCTAGTGCAACAGATCAACTGATGTGTTCCAGCTGTTAATAATGAATTTCCATGCTTGAATAATGTGGCTCTATAAATTTGCTCTCACACTGTTATACATCATTAATTTAATGTTCAGAGGCATCCCAGGAGTTTCACAGTCAAATTTAATTCTTCATTGTAACCTCAATCTGCTCAATCTGTTTGTTTCAGTCCTAAAATTGAGTTAGCAATTTCCCTCATTTCTTAGACATCCGGAGTTAACATGTTTCATTCAGCTTGTGGAGGTGGAAAAAGCAATATTGGTGGAGACAGAAGACGATGAAGTACAAAAAGTGTAAGGCCTCTTATTTATAATCATACTTAAAAGTACCTTAATTTTGAGGTACTGAAAGTAAAACTACATTGACAGCTATTTTTGAGTAGCTGCAAGTGAAAAACAAAAAACTTCCACCACCAAACCTCCAGAAATACCTCATCCACGGCTGTTTTTACATTTTAATATAAGGGGTACATGTAAATTCAACAAATTTCCTTGCAGTGGAGGTAAAAGTTGAAAAAGGATAGTCCTCCTGCTTACTATCACTGAGATCACAGATTTCTTACCCAAGGAGGTTTTACATAAGGCGACACACGGTGCAACAAAGTGTTAAAAACTCATGCATGGTGCTTTAACTGTACCTTCTCATCCTGTGGAAAAGCATGGGTGGAGGAGAGAAGGTGGAGACAGGAGAGTTAGACACACTGAGGGTACAGTGAAAACATTAGCTACATACAGTGTGAACAATAATGTGATTTAATGACAACTAGAACAATTGGTGGAGCAACAAATGTATCAAGTAATTCATCACTTGACACAAATTAAACTGATTTTTAATACTGTTTAAAAGACTCAGTTTTCACACCTCTTTTTAGGATCACTGGCAAAATTTGATCAATGTGGTATTTAGACCAAGCGAGATGGTGGCCTGATCCCTTTGTTACTTTTTTGGATATTGTGTAAACAAATAGACAAACGGAGAAGCAGACATGGATGAAAACACAACACAAATGTATAAAGGTGGATGGATGCAAGCAATCAGGGTACCATCAACTTAAATCTAGCTTCAGTGTATGAAAGAACAACAGCACCACGTGACCACAGTGGACAAATGTTGAATTACATGTGGAGTTACCTTGTGGTGCATGGCTTCCTTCTGGCTGACCAGCTGGGAGCGCAGGATCAGCACCTCCTCCTTGCGGACGTCCAGCTCCTCACAGGAAGCGTTGAGCTGCTCCAGGAGCACCTTGTAAGCTGGGGAACCCGGGGCCCCCGCACCTGCAGCTGCGTTACCCAGCAGGCTTTGCCTCATCTCTGCCAGGTTATGCTTCAGCTTCTTGTTCTCTGACTCCAGCTCCTGACGCTGGGAAGTGAGAAGATTCAGTATCAGGGGGGTTGAGTCACAATGACAAGCTGCAAATGAGGCTTTCTGAAACTATGGCATGAATTACTTAAATTTTTTTTTTAGAAATAAGTTTTCTGGCTTTGGACCGAGTCATTGTCACTTACCTTCAGGGACTCATACTCCAGCTCTGCCCCACGAGCCTTTTTAAACTCTGCGTCATCCTGAAACAAGGAGAAAAACATGGTGATGAAAAGGTGTTTCGGACTGGGACAAAGTTCGTAATACATGATGCAGAACAGTTTGAAATAGTTTGACATAGACAAAAATAACAGAAGAAGAACAGGGTCTGATTTAATTACAGCTGAAAAATGATATAAAATTGATAATTCAGCCAAACTGAAGAATATCTATTTTCCTCTGTTAACTTATATATTAACTATGAAGCTCTTTAAACATGTGCATAATGATTATATTTTATCAAAATAGTCATGAAAAGTAATTTATTGTACTTATACTGGGTCGTTACAAACTTTCGCAAGTAGATTATGCTACTAGAAAGCTTTCCCAATCCATGTATTGCTGAATGTTTACAATCCTTGGGTTAACACAATAGAATGAGGCTCATAAAATTAAGTGTTGTATTATTAGTTGATAAAGTGAGCTATTTCAGAGCCCAGTGTGGGTGGCAGTACCCTGGCTCTAGCCCGCTGGAACTGATCCTCTTTGTTTTCTAGTTCGTTGCGCAGCGACTGCTTTTCTTGCTCCAGTTCTGTGAGACGTTTCTGCAGCTTGAGGGTCAGCGAGGTGTCCATTCCTCGGGTCACATCCTGCATGACAGAGATATGTTAGGACAGAGCATACGCCCCATGAAAAGTATGAAGTATATAAGAGTTTCCCTCTTATTTAAAGACTGTACTTAAATGCCAACATTCTTACTTCGGCGGCACGGGAACCTTCTTCCAATTCGGCGTACTCTGAGTTGTAGGTGTACTCTGATTCGTTGCTGCTGTGGGTGGAATCTGTTCTCCTGTGGCCAGGCTTGGAGATGTTCTACAGAGGAGAGAGAAAATAAGCCTTTTTAAAAAAAATGGTAGGTCTCCAAGCTGCAAGTGTTGAAACCATTTGCTTTCTGCTGTTGTGTTCAAGCGGTGAGAAACACTGAACAATGAATCAAATACATTTGTTGTCTTTGTGTTTTCAGAATTTTAACAAGTTGAGTAGCACTAAAATGACATCTTCTGATTGTGCTCATAAATAAGTGAAACCTCTCCCAAGTAGTGACTGGGTGTGTGTGCATGTGTCCCTCACCGAAGAAGCCATCACCTCCTTCAAGTCGTCGTATTTCTCCTCGAGGCGAAGGTGTTCTGTCAGGAGATTCTGGTAGCGAGATCGCTCCTCGTTCAGATCCGTCTCCAGCTGCTGAGTCTCCTGTGCGATCGAACGGGCCATTTTCTCTGACGGGACAAAACATAAAGAAGGAGGAGTTCAAATAAAAAATAAAAAGAAACACACTGTATGGTTTAGGAGACAAAGGTTTCTGCATGACTAGGTGGGTGTGTTGCAGTAAGTCAATATGATTTATGCGGGGATACCTGTCATCTGCTGACTCTGTTCCTGAATCATCCTGTTCAAGTTGTCCTTGTCTTGCTTCAGTGAACCATTCTCTTCCTTCAGCTCCGAGACCATCTACACACACACACACACACACACAAACAAATAATGCTTAAATCACATCTTGTGTAAAGCAGGTGATGTGAGTCCACTGTACACAACTAAATGTGATGGATTCATTTATGTAGTGGTCACCTAGCATGTTACTGTAACTCTCAAAAGATGCCCAAAACAAGTGCTTCTCATTTAGAAAAACCTCCTGGGTTATTTGAAGACAAAAGAAGACAAAACACTAGACAAGAAGACTGAAATTAGCACACTACTCTATCTCCTGTGCTCACCTGCCTCAGGGCAACACTGCCCTCTGAGCCCACCACGTGCCCATATCCCCTTGGTTCGCTCTGGCTCCTAAATTGAGGAAAAACGTTTTTCCTCTGATGCCAATATGCATATTTATGCAAAAAATGTATTTTGTCATATATATATTTCCAGGAAACTATGGGAGACTGTACTCATTAGGAGCAATTTCTACTGTACTGAAGTTTTAAACTAGTAATAGGAAGCAACTGTCTCACTAAAAATGGAAATCTAAGTGGAGGGGAAAAGACAGGGTGTTTTAAGGAGGTTCAAAAAAGTGAATTTTCCTTGAAATTTGAAACCTCCAAATGGTTCAAATATGCAACCAACATCTAAGGAAACATTTCCGATATACAACCAAGAATAAGGAAGGAGAGAAAAACACATAGTAGTACAGGAGACAGATAGAGGGACATGGAGGATCAGGACAAGTACAGGTATATGGAGGGATGCGGATCCTGTCTTACTTTCTCCATTTCGTTCCTGTAGGTTTGCGCCCAGTCCTCGATGGTCTTCTTCTCCTTCTGCGTGGTACTCAACTCCTTCCTCAGCCTCTCCAGCTCCTCCAGCAGCGAGGCCACCTGGTTGGTTTTGTTTTTGGCCTCCTCCTCCACTCCGCGCAGCCGGCTCAGGTCGCTACGCAGCCGCTCGCTCTCTGCCGTGTAGGAACTCTCCAGACCAGCTAGCCTCTCGTTGATCGCCCGATTGTCCTTGGTCTGGAGACATGGGACAGATCGTAAAACAGGGAAATCAAACACCAAAATGACAAAAATGGGTGTGGGGGGTGGGGGCTACTCACCTGCTCGTCGATTTTCCTCTGCAGCTGCATGATTTTGTTCTCCATGCCTTTGTTGAGCTTCTTGAAGTGCTCCACTGAGCGAGCCTCGATCTTCAGCTTCTTCAGCTCGCGCCTGGCCCTCATCCTGCGGATGCAGCACTGCAGGTAGACGATTGAGACGAGGCAGCGCTTGTACCAGCACCGAGCCAGCCAGCCACGAACGCGCTTCTGAATGATCACCGCCTTGTGCTCCCGCAGTAACTACAGACAAGACACAGTAAGGAGAAGTCAAACATTCCTTTTTGAAACGTTTCCACTTGTTCTAAGTGAAATTTTTCTTGTTACAGGCTTTTTGTAGATGTGAGGGTCAGTAAGATACAACAGGTCAGTAACCGCAACGTAAGTAAACAAAACCCCCGAAATCAGTTGATCAGATGATTTTGTCTTGTACTGGTTGGGATGAAAATGTTTTGCAGTGTTTTGTGATGTGTGTCTTACCGCCTGGTACTTCTGCCGGGCCATGTAAGCTCTGAGGATCGTCTGCATGACCAGAGCAGCTGCCTGCTTCTGTCTGTAGCGTTTCCTCTCCACGTACATCCTCTGGTACTTCTGGATGATGGTGGCCGCCTGAGTGCGACGCATGAACTTGGCCAGGCTAAGGACAGCAGAGATACACTCATCTCAACTAACACTTATTTAGAATTTTAGTATTACTTCAGACTTTAGGTATTTCAGCCGTTGACTTATTTAAATGAAGAAGGAGACAAATGTCTTTGCATGTTACTATTAGATTCAACTGACTCACCAGCGAGCCTGGTATCCTCTGGTGAACCTCTGGATGGTGATGGCAGAGCTGCGCATGCGCAGATACTTCTTACGAACCAGCCAGCAGCGGATGGTTTTCTGGATACGAATGCAGGCAGCACGCAACTTGTCAGCCCTCAACTTCTCCAGGTAGGCAACCTGGCCGGCCCTGAAGAAGATCTTGGTCTTACCAAACTGGTATTTATCCTGGTCCTGAAGGAAGACATGAGATGAGATCAGGGGTAGAACCACGATTAGATGGACAAAAAGAGCACAAAGAAAATACAAAGCCAAACTTTTGATCCATTTCAGTGCCTGTTTAAAAAGTAAAACGGCAGTTTGTCTGACCTGCACTAGTTTCTCCAGGACGTTCCTGCAGGTCAACTTCTTGTCAGGTAACACGTCCTTCTGTTTCATCAACACTCTATAACGGCTGAAAAACTCCTGGTAGGTCCATCTGAGACACACACACAGACAAAAAGAGTCATAGACATACAATGACCTAAACATTTTCTTTCTGACTGTTTTGTTGAGTCAAGTTATTTTTAACCAAAGTAAAATTGCAAAGAGATTAACAGCTTGCAGAGAAAACAAGCTTTGTTTTTGTTCATGTAAAGTGACCCACACTGCCTGACAGTGAAATCAACAACTTAACAACTTTATAGTCCCTTTAATAACATTTTATGATATTCCAAAACGAAAAAAAAATACGTTAAGGAGTCAAATAAAAAAAACTGGACAAATTATTAAAACCAATGCAGGAGGCCAAAAAGAAACTCTGCATGGAGAAAGCTAATAAATTGGGTGATTGTAGTAAATGAAACTGTCTTGTTCCACTAGATCAGATCAATCCTACACCGAGCTGACAGGCTGCAATGCTGTTAGGTCCATACATTCATCATATTCAGACACTCGCAGGGTACCTCTGCATTTGCTTTGTGCATTGCCACATTCACAAGGATACATAAACATTGGTGAGAGTTTGAGAATCAGCAGCAGTGTTGCAGGGATGCATCAGTACCTGGATGGGAAACCTGCAGCAGAGATGCGGATGGTTTCCAGGACACCACAGGCTCTGAGCTGCTGCACCGCACGTTTGGGATCAAACCTGACAACAACAAATAACCACAGTCAATATAGCCACCAAGAACTATGGCTGAGCTAAGTTTTGGGTTCGAGCACAGTGTATAATTTATTAACAAGTCAGGAAACTCACAAATGAGAATATGTATAGAGCACAGAGAAAACTATTTAGTTGAAAACATAACAAGGAGTTATTCCTAAAAGAAGAGAGATGAAGACTCACGAGAAGGCCGTCTTGAAGTCATTGGGTTTGATGCAGCGTACGTAGTGCGGAGTGGTTGCGTTCAAAGTTTCCATCAGCATTTGCAGAGAGTTACGAAACTACACGAGAGGACCATCATCATCATCATCATCATCATTTCTTTTGTGGGGTTCAAAGAAGGCTGAGGGCATGTGTGAAATGCTGCTTTGGATGATCATCATTACAATAGCATGTTTGTAGCATTACAATCAATATAAAAATAAAGATAATGTACTTCAAAATCTACAGACTGGATTGATAAATAATTGATATGCAGAATACAATTAAAACTAAAAATGCATGTAAACAATATATATATGTTTAAATCATATATATTTTTATTTGATCTGACATCTACCAGAATACACTGAATGTGATCCCACTTGGACTGAGCACCTGTGTAAATATGTAACAGCATCAAGGATCAGTTACATATAACAGACCACATAACAAAACACTGGAGAGAGGTATCGACCTGGCAGCCGACGGTCTTCTTGTGCTCCTTGCTGCTCTTGTCTCGGCTCTTGTCAGGTTTGACGCTGAGGCGGGTCCGGCCTCCGGTGCCAGGGGGCTGACCAGTGGGGCTGGTAGCTTTCTCCTCATCCTGGAACAGCTCCACCAGCAGGTCAAACTGGGAACAGCAGCCCACTCACAGTCACAAACAGTACGGCTGATGGCAGCATTAGACCCTGCAGGCTATACTGATTTACTGAGAAATAAAGTGACAACAAAGCCTTTCACTCTGGATACACTATAAATTAAGCTTCAATGTCACCACAATGCATATTTATAAAATTTTAGTTTCTAACAGTGTCTTACTATGCATAGCATGCATATGGATTTCTCTTACCTAATGCACACAGCCTCACAAAGCATGATGACAGCTTTAATGTTAGCTTTTGCCAAAATACATTTGTTAATAATTTGACTTGAGTGTTGAAAACCTCGATGTTGACGGCTTCATTTTTAAATTCAGAAAATTCAACATACTAGTCCCAGTAATCATGTCACAGTGTGACATGAGAGCTAATTAACTGCAACATTTTCACACAAAGACAGTTGAAAAGATGCTTCATAGTTTAAGCACACGAGTGAGTAGATGTCATTTGATTAGCGTTTGTTAAACTCATTCACAGTCAGAGTTATTACAATGTTATGAAAAGCCAATTAAAATAGTAAAAGGTTATGTTTTTGTCATATATGACCATATAGAGTGGTCATATATGACATATCTTGCTATAGTGTTATGACATAAATAGAGCCACGTACGATGTATGCCCTTTAGTAAAGCACACACATCAGTCATGTTCCATATAATGCTGAGGTTATATGAGGAGGATGCTGTGTTATGTGTGCAGCTTTCAGGTCCTCCTGCGGAGCTCAGAGCGTTGCCATGCTGCTTCTCTTGCCAGCGTCATTAAGCAGGACAGCCTCGGCCGCAAAGGCTTTACGTGCTGCTCGCTCTCAGCATCACTCTGACAACATAAAAATACCCTCCTTCCTTGGTCCCTTGTTTCCCTATTCTCTCCTCCCAGAGTGCCTTTAGTGCTCCCCATGCAGCAAACAAAGGCCCACGCACACACAACGTCAATCTCCTCAGTGCTATTAGAGTGATAATAACTTAGTGCCAGAGAGAGACAGGGAAGGAGAAAAGATAAAGGGAGCTAAAGGAAGAGCTACAGGCGTGCCAGCGTTGCAGGAACGCCTCGGTTTACCTTCTGCTGGCAGGGAAGGGTTGTCATGATGAGGACAGAACCAAACATACATGGACAACATATGGAGACACAGTGACAAAAAATAAACAACCTTTAAATGACATTTAAAGGAAAGATTAAAGGACACCCAAAGGTCAAATTCAAAATCATTGTTACCCCCATCAAAAACTATGATACTCATCTACGATTCCAACCAAAAAACTAAATAAAACCAGTCAGACTAATGATGAAGCTGTAGTGGATGGAGGGAACATAATGGGATGATGATTTTTATTCCACAAAAAAACTTCCACTCAATTCCAAGCCTGCGTGAAGTATAAAGCATATCTGTGGCTGGAAGACAGCCGCTGGGTGGGATTTTATCTGCTGTCATTTTGATCATGTTCCTGGATTGCAATGCATTATGGGAAATCTCTGCATCAGGCATTTCCCCATGCACTGCATTGATTAGACTTGCGAGCAGACGTCAGCATGAATGCGATAGTCCCGTGCGTCTCACAGGTCTCAATGCAGTTTTGAGCAATGCAGGTACTGTGAAGCCATTTTAACGCCAAAATATTTAACTGTATACACTTGAAAGGACGTTTCTGCTTTATACAACCCGAGTCTTATTTCTCATAGTTTTTGGTCAATTACTAACATCTGGGACTGCAGTGACATCGCTACAAAATAACTCCAATTTGGTCACATAGTCAGACGAACAAACCTCTACATTAGCCAGACGGAGGAGAAAAGGAAGGCAGCAGTCAAATGTAAACATTCATCACAGTTTCCAGACAGACTTCCTGGCTCATGTTTGACTCACTGTACTTGCCATAGATGACGGGAAGTTTTCATGCGCAATGAAGGATTATTAGCAACATTTTCAGGTGCGCTCACTTTAGGTTTTGATAATTTGGCTTAACCTTTATGATCGTCTGACTGCGCGTTACTTGACCCAATTCATTGTAGCGATGTCGCCCTGTTCCCAGATCTGAGCAGTGCCTTTGATGAGTAAAATTTTATAAATACTGAAAGAAATGTCGGCTAAAACTATAAAAAAAAAAAAAATTAAACAATGAATTTTCCTTAAACAGCAGAAGCTCTACATCCTGGCCTTCAGTCCGTCCTAAGATGGTAGGTACTATGTCAGGGTGCATTTGTGAAGAGACATGCATTCTCCTGAGGCCTTCCTCTGCCACAGCTACCTCCATGCCTCGCAGCGAGGATATTCTACCTCCACATTTTATATTTTGAATGTTAATGTGTTACACAGCAACGTAATATAACGGTTAACTGCTAAATAAATTAGAATTATCTGAATTAACAGGGCTTGTAAAAAGAAAATGCTTTTGCGTTTAACTGCCATTTTACAGATGTGTGTCTTATGTTACTGTGTGGCTAACTGGAAAACACACACACACACACACACACACACAATAAGCTTGGCAGAGAAGTAAAACAAAACCTAATTAGACTAAATCTCATTAAGAGCTCATTAACTTTTAATCCCAACTGTTTAGGTTTAACTGATTTCCATGACAACATTCAGACTATACGCCCATGAGAGAGAGAGAGAGTGTGTGTGTGTGTGTGTGTGTTAAATGATTGTGTTAGAGGTTAGAGCAGACAGTGTTTCAACCCTTACCCAATTCTGCTCTTTGTTGAAGTCTATAAGAGAACAGTCGAAGGTCACTGTGAGCATTTTGGGCAAACACACTACATCATTGTGTGTGTGTGTGTGTGTGTATGTGTGTGTGTGTGTGTGTGTGTGTGTGTGCAACCAAAACAGCAGTAAGGGTTTAAAGGCTTTGGCTGCTTTTGACCCAACCAGATTTTACACACTGATCCTAAACCAAGACTAAAACACACACACACACCCGCACACATGATCATTTGAAAAACGATCACATCAGCGCTTAAAGAATTATTGATAGAACCTTTTTAAAGATAATAAAAAAATGGTTAATGTTGCTGTAAACGTTGATTCACAAGGCCAGGATGTGTTCATTTATAAAATCTGTATTACTAGTGTTAGTTATTACATAACCCTGCATTTATTAAGGCTTAGTCATACTTTTCGCCAGTCATGAAAGTACGAAGTGCAATAAGCAGTGGAATATATATGAACCATATTTATTTATTCTGGGTCATATTTAGCCAATGACCCCGCTTACTGTGTGTGTGTGAGTGTGTGTGTGCTCAGCTTTGTCTGTTATGCGTAAACAAAACCTAAACCACAAATCTCCTGGATGGAGCCTTTGTCTTCACTGATGCGGTCAACACTATCTCCACATGGCCATTGGAGGACGCTGCTTCCCCAAGCTTTCAGGTGGGATTTTCGGAGGGTAAACAACAGACCAGGTGCTACTGCTCTCCATGAGCTGCAGGCGTCTTGGCTTTGATCTCAGTGGATGCTTCACAGCACTTTGAGCTGTATACTGATGTGTCCAAATGGCTCTTTGCTCATCTTTATAGGATCTGATTTTAATGTAGGTGTGTGTCTGTGTTTGTCTCCTCACCTTGCTGGCCTTCAGCACATTGATCTGTTCTTCATTCACTGTGTCTTTGTTCTTCTCCAGGAAGCCCTCACACTGGTATTCCACCTGCTCGACAAGCACAGCACAGTTTGCGTTACAATATCTGTGAGGCCATCTCACTGGTCATTTATTTCTAAAGAGAATCTATGCTTTACATTTTCACATATGTAATCACATTTCTGAAGGTGTTAACAACAAAGCAGACTCAAAGAAACCTCTGTATTCACATTGTCCTAATGTTTGGGGTACATTCATACGGTCAATGTTTTCATGTCTTGGTTTTAACTCAAACTGAGGTGGCCAGTGACAGCTCTGAGGAACAGTAAACTCTTCACAGCAGCTAATATACAGTTCAAACTCCTGATGAAAGTTTGTTTAAATACATCATTGCAAATATTTGATCAGAAATGTTTCCAAGGATCCCACATTAAAATCACAGGGCCTCATGGAAAAGCCTGCGTTAGTCCCTGACCCGTTTATCTGTAACCTTATAGTGAGGATCTAAAAACAGACATGACAAATAACACTGCGTCATACAGCATTACAGGATATGAAACCTATTACACTAAAGTGTATTACACTAACACACACACACACACACACACACACACACACACACACACCCGCTAAACACTTTATTACAAAACTGATTTTTGTGTGTGAAAACAATGCTAATAGAAAAAAGTCATCCGTCCTCCAGCCATCCTAAAAATATCTCACACCAGCACTGCAGCAGCCACTGCGGCCAGTCTGCTCCTAAATGTCTGTTGAGTTAAACACTGTAAGGAACAAATAAATACTTTTAAACAACCACTATGCAGATATAGTCGCCTGTCAAGCCCACCTTGTCAGCAAAATGTTGGATGATAAAGGCGCGGTTGGACATGCGTGGCTTCTCGAACAGGGTGCAGGTCTTTAGGTGAGTGTTGTAGAGTTTCTGAGCCCACGAGTCATCCGAACCTTTAGGCATCTGGTATAGAAACGAAGAAGACACAGTGGAAACTATCAGTAAGAAAACATGCATCTAACCATCAGCTTACAGATACACATAAAACACATGTTACTTAAGTGTTTATTTTTTACTGGTTACACAGGGTATGAGAACGATTTTCAAGTCAAACCAAATGTCCATGTTGTGTTTGCGTTACTCTGCAATAAAGTCAGCAATGTGGACCACCTCAAATGTCAACAGCTTGAAAATGACCTTGCAGTGGTGAAGAGCCACAGAGAGATTAGTCAGCATTGTTAGTGTTAGTGTGCAAATGGTACAGATACGAGCTCTGTCTTTACTCTGCACACGACTGGAATATTAACTCAGATAACTGACATTTCGTATACAATCACCAAAGCTTAGTCAAACATTAAAGTGTTTACAACAAAATAAAAACATGCAATCAGACTAAATTGAAAAGCTTTGTCTCCCATTCAGTTTCACTGTGTACACTGGAGGGAAAGAAGAGGAACAGAGTAGCTTTCAGGCCTGTGGTCATTATTTCCTTCCTGTAGGTGAACTCTGATGAACGATGCATGTAGGTGTTGGAGACTCGGATTTATTGTGTGGTTGGATGCACTGACAGGTCAACTGTCAAAAAATGTGAAGCACAATGTGGGTGTGAACGGGCGAATGTTTCTCACTGAAATATTCAAGCACATCCCACAAGCCTCTGCTCAATCTGCAACGTGGACTCGCTTCACTTCTCCTGTTTGTTTACATTCATGAAAAACTTTTTATTCCACCAACAGTATTTGTAAGTCACCAAGTCTTATGTAATTGTATATTCTTAGCTTGTGTGCCAAAGAAGACTTTTGTTAAAAGAGTTATGATCAGTCTTTTTTTTTTTTTTTTCATCAAATAAACATCAACTGTCATGAGAAACAGTTCTCTCTGCATCTTTTTCTCTGCGTCTTTCAATCATCTTTACTTACCAGAATAACTTATATGTAATATGATCTGCAACATTTTTTAGGAGACTATATTAAAAGTACCTTGCACTCCTCGTCCAACAGGTCCAGGATGCCCATCTTGGCCTCTATGAGGTTGATGCAGGGTTGATTGTCGTAGAAGTCAATCAGAGTCCATGGGATCTCCTCCCTCATGTACTCCTCCTGCTCCAGCTTGAACACGTGCTGCACACACACACACGCACACACGGAGATTAAGCTGTGGACTTGGCATCACATTTTATGTCATCTGTGAATATGATACAATGTGCAATCCAACAGGTAAAACAGATGCTGCTCACCATGTTGAACTGTTGTTGAAGTTTCTCATTAGCGTAGTTGATACAGAACTGCTCAAAGCTGTTGATCTCAAATGTCTCAAACCTTGAGAGGAAGAACAACCAGAGGACGAGTCACCCAGCTGGATGACATCTATTACAAGGCTAACGTGTTAAATCATCTAAAACTATTTATGTGGCCCTTGTTTCACATATTTCCTATAATTATTTCCTATGGGTGAGCTCAGATTGGCCCACACAGACAGGAGAACGCACAGACGTACCCGTAGATGTCGAGGACCCCGATGAAAGAGTGCTTTTTGATACTGGTGATTAGGGCTTTGTTAACATGCTCCACAATCCAGTTGAAGAGCTTGGCGTAGATATGTTTGGACAGCGCGTCACGGGCATTGGTGGCCTGCAGGCGGGGGAGGGTCTTGATATACGTCTCTGTGGCAGTCTTCAGCTTCCTGTGGCACAGCCACTGAGACATGTCTTGGTAGGACACACCAACCAACTCGCAGAACGCCGTCAGGTGGCGATTGTTGGCCTACAGGAAAAGAGAAGAGAGATCCTAACCATTACCAGGAGAAACCCAACAAGATGCCAGCAAAGAAAAGGTAGATTCCCTCATCTGGACTCAAAAATATCTTAAGTTCTATATTTTTGGATACATGTGTCCCAGTGACACCCTCTCCCCTCACAAGATGGAGGCTGTGTAAGTGAGCAAGTGGTGCAAATAAGCAGCACTGACTTATCGCCTCCTTACTTAATATTATATTTTTCCTCACATGTAATCATAAAAAGGTACATGAACTTTACCAGAGGTATATCAATGCAGCAAACAAATTTGTTTTATTTGCAACATTGTCAGTCTCTCTATCTTATTTTAGTTTAGTTTATTCACACATATTGAAAAAAACAATAAAACTTGATAGAATATAAAATACTGTGAAGGGGAGGTCAGAAGCCAAGAAAAGGCTTATAAAGATACCACCCTTCAAAGTGACATTAGTTACACTAAGATAAAAAAAAAATGTTTTATGTACACGATGAAAAAACTGTATAATAAGATCTTAAAAATCATTGTCCTTTTATAGATCAACTAACAGATTCACAATAAATCTAATAGTCCATAGCCTAAAATATCAAATTGATGCTAATTGCTCATTTCAGATATTTACCAACAGAGAACTTGGTGTTTTATCCATTCTGTGTCAAGCTTTTGAAAAGCAACAAAACTCTTGAGGACTTTTGACCATATAAACATTTCAAATTGCTCGAGAGTCTTGTTTATGAGAGAGAATAAAAAGAAACCGACTGTTATAGTTCAGCTATCAGGAACACAGGCAATATGACTTAAGGACACAACAATGGCACCGTGACAATAGGCTGTGAAAAGACTGACAACAGGACTATTTGCAGGCACAGCTTAAACTGAATCAGTACATACATAGGTATGACTGAGGAGTGACACCTATTGAAATATGCCAGCCATTTGAATATCACATAACTACAGATATAAAGTCGTGACTATCACGCATTATCTGTTTAAATATTATCCTCACAGGAATGACGCTGCTGTCTGAGTCTCTGTCCTTTATCTCCACATTTCCCAGATGAAGAATAGCAGCCAAAACCTGGAACAACCCCATCTGGTAGGACTCATTAATCCCTGCACAGAAATAAAACACACACAGATAAACAGACACACACTGGTTATTAGAGAGGTGTGACTCAAATCTCATCTCAACCATACTTAACGTTTGTTTATATTTGTTCATCATACTCTATACTTTGATTCAGTTAATAAGGTACATCCAGCAGACACATCAGTTATCTCTAAGACAGAGTCTCCTGGGTTACAGATTTGAAGGTGTATTTGCTTTTATATGCGAGTGTCTGCATGTTACCGAGCAGAGTGAAGGCATCGCGCGTGTTGCAAAGCTCCTTGGTGTCGTCCACGCCTTCGATAACAGGGCTGCGGCCCTGTCTGGTGTACAAGAAGTCGTTTGCACTGCCTGAGTGGAAAAGAAGAGAAAGTTAATGCATTCAGAAAACATGCAGTATGTGCAGTTTTACCTTGTACAACTTGGGTACAATTGTGCTATCAAAGCCTCCTCGTTTATCACGCAGAGCTGCATCAGAAAAAAAACAAGTATCCGGCCACAAGGAAAATACTTGTTTCTGATTGGCTATGAGGAACTGTCATGTCAGTTAAAATCATCAAGCTCATGTCTAAGTAACAAAGGCAGGATTATTCTCAGTCAGTGCTCAGGGTAGCTCTGCAAATAACCACAGCAACAATTCTGGTTTGTTACGATAACACTGAACTATCAAGGAAACCAAAAGAGGTTCAAAGTCAGTCGTCAGAGGTGTTTCTGAGTGGTCAAAGCACAGCAAAGTTTCCCAAAAATAAAACAATACACTACATTTGTTTTCCTACGGACTCATTAATTTCCCCTTATTTAAGGGTGCGTGGGAATGTTCTTCATGATTCTCAAACAAATTCTCAAACATCCACTCCAACGAAGTGATGTGAATTCTGAAAACACTTTCTATTTTCACTCTCAGATCAACAGACAGACGCCGTGTCATGTTTTTGCAGATGGTTTAGGGTTCTTAGAAAACGGTTAAATCAAAATAAAACACTTCTATGTAAGAATGATCTTAGCTCAACTTTCCCACAATCAGTTTCTTTATACACACACACTTTGCACTTAATTAAGGCATGGCCTGTTGCCTGGCCACGAGAGGCACGGGCATGGCTGTGACAACCGCTCCATTTACTGAGCCAGGAAGTCAGCAGGAAAGGAAAAGACAGCAGCTGTGTCTGTGTGTGTGTGTGAGAGAGGGAGAGGGAGAAGGCCAACTGAGTGGCTGTAAGTGACAGTGCCAGCAGTGTGTGTGTGTGTGTGTGTGTGTGTGTGTGTGTGTGTGTGTGTGAGAGAGAGTGTGAGTGTGAGAGTGTGTTTGTGTGTCGCATGAGTAGGACAAGCAGGTGCAGGTCCACAGCGGGAGTACTCTGTATGCGAGTCTGTTCAACCACTGAGTCAACGAGTTTGATACGTCTAAAATGTGATATCTGGCAGCTCTTGAGAGACCTCACTGTGATTTATGAAGATTATGTTTTAGAGATTTGAAGGGGGGGAATATTTTGTATTATGTTGTAGGCCCAGTGCAGGATCAGCTCCATTAGATGTTACCGTTAAAAATGGTTCTGGATAAATCACTCGAGAAAACATTAATTTTTTTGTTTTTGTTTGGCTGAGTCACTGAGATGATGGATTTTGAGTGTTGTACAATTATTATGCTGTGGAGAGCCACTGCGGCTCTCTTAATATGTGTTCACTGCCGATTTTGAATTGTTGTAGCTAATGTTTTCATCAAGTGCTCTAGGTAACACAATATTTTTATGTGTCAAGGTGCTGCAGCCCACTCCACCACTCTAAAAAACACGAAAGTAATGAGTTGTTCCTCTGGTGAGAGAAAGTGAGCCGATTTCAAACTACTGGTTTTGTAGTTGCTTATGGTACAGTTAAAAAAATGGTGTACTGTGCAGCTCTGTGTGTGTGTGTGCACGTGCATGAGACTTACTCAGCTTCAGAGTCTTGAACTCAGGCAGATGGGATGATGCGCACAGCTGATAAAAGATATGATAATTCCTCTCCTCATCCGCCTGGAAGAAAACATGAAGATGATAAAATGTGAGGGGAATGCGACAGTATTGATCTACACAGACATCCTGATCACAAGCCTTTTTCAACCTACATCCATGCAGGGGAAATCAACTGTGTCAGCATTAATATATAATCACATGAGCTTTACAATGATACAGTTTGACAGTTTAACATCTGGTAGCTCCACTGAAGCAGTTGGTGTTGCTCAAGGGCATGTCAGCAGATATTATTGAGTCATATGACAATATTACGTGTTTATTTTACTGCAAACATAAGCTGTGGCCCACATGTACATCCCTTCAAATACCCATGGAGAGGTGCTAACAGATATATCATACAGTAAATGGGCATAAGTGCGTGTACATTGAGAAAAATCGGGAGCTACCGATTCATTTCCAGTGAAAATAAATAACTCAAAATTTAAAAGGATTTCAGCAGTGGGCTGTAAAGCTGGAAACAAAACATTTACCTGTGTCCTAAATTGGTGCTACTACACCCAAACACAGAATTCACACACACACACACACACACACACACACACACACACACACACACACCTATAAATGGGTTGTACCGGAGCCGAGCATGTGAAAAATGTGAGGAGGAAGGTAATCACGTTTTCTGCCAACATCCTCATTCCCCAACAGTGAGGTCTATAAGAGCAGAGTTAAAATAGCCTCGTTCTTTATCTATAAGCTGCCCTACTGGCAAATACCCACTGAATATACAATAAAGTTACATAACAGAAAAGGCTGGTAAAATGTATCTAGATAGAACTTGGACACACATGTACAAACCAGAAAATCTAAAGTTATAAGATCATGAAAAGGCCCCAAACACTAGTTTTAAAGTTTTTCTGCTTGTTAAATATGTGCAGGGACTGTAAAGACAGAGAAAGGGATTTCTAAAGAAAGATTTAGGCAACAAAAGGATACAAATTCAATCATTACTTAAGAATGTTTTTGACATTGAAGAGAGTGAAAAAGTGAGGAAAGTAGTGCTGTTCTGTACCCAGTGAGACAGATGGATCATTGGGCATTATTGTTGAATGGTGGGTAAAATAAGTAACGAGCTGTATGTTATTTCTACCTTTATGCCAGCCAACAACCCCCTGAGTGTGTTACATTGGCTATACATTACTGGTGTCAGGCCTTTGAGGATTCATATAGCAAGACAACTTCCAATGTGAAGGAAACAAGCTGAAATAGGCTGGTCTTCATAAATGCAACAAATCACACGATATTTTGCCCGTAACCCTGTAAGAGTGTAAGGTCAGCTAAAGAACTGTGTGTATTCATGAGCAACATGTTCAGGAACATGCTGAAGGACACTTCAGCTGGACCAAAATCAGCTATCAGGAACACAGGCAATATGACTTACGGACACAACAATGGCACCGTGACAATAGGCTGTGAAAAGACTGACAAACTCCACAAAAGTGGTTTCTGCACGTTAAGCAAAGCTTAATGTGTTGTGTGTCAAGAAGAGTTCAGAATAAAATGAAGCCATGTATAAAGGTTAACTTTGTGCATGTGTCTGTGATCCACACAAGTACAACAAAACACTTACCTGAAAAACCACTCGCGATTTCTCCAGCAGATACGTTCTCATGTTGGCGCCGATGATACGGAAGCGGTTGTCGAAGCCGATCTCAATGTACTTCCCAAAGCGACTGCTGTTGTCATTTCGGGTGGTCTTTGCATTTCCAATGGCCTGGGTGACAGAAGAGAAATAAACACAAAAAACAGGTGCAAGATATTATGGTCACAGTGTTTAAAACACAGAAGATAGTGCAACAGCATTTGTTTTTATTTAATATATTGATACCACAACAGCAGAGACCTTTGGACAGAGCCAGGCAAGCCATTTCCATTTCTGATGCTAAGCTAAGCGGTTGCTGGCTGTAGCTTTCCATATACTATACACATATGATAGTGATATCAATCTTTTCACAGAAATCTACTACTACTATACACCTGATTCTCAAACTAGTACGCCAGAACCTCTCATACTCTGGCTCATAACCTGAAATAAGTTTATTATTTGTGGTTTGTCCACACTTGACAAAACAGCAGTATGTGTTAATGGACCTTCCACAGACAACAGTTAGGTATTTCATGCTGAGATACTGTAAATCGGCAAACAAGTCAACTGCAGTCAGCAGCCTTAGTTCAATATACAGGATTGATCAATGACCCTACTAGGAATTGTCATTAGACGGGTGGGGCTACATACAAACACACACACACCCTGCCTACGCAACCAGCTGGCTTGAACAGAGTTAAATCGTGCGTGAGCACAGAGGGTTCTTGCTGAGTTAAGGCCGAACACACAGTCTTTCACTGCAGACAAGGAGTCTTTCAGCAGAGCAGGTATTCCAATCTCTGCCTGTATCAGCCAAACACATAAACACCAAGCACAAACACTTATCCCCTCTCTCTCTCTCTCTCTCTCTCTCTCACACACACACACACACACAGAAAAGGTATGTGTGTATTAAAAAGGCTGATGCAACCATCTACTCTGTGTCCAGGCTTAGAGGCTGAAGTGACATCACTGCAACGCAAGAAAGCTTTCTATTCATTCTGTCAGCTCGTCTCTGATTGGCTTGAGGTGAAAGTGGTGGCTGGGAGGACAAGAGTCATGTTAACGGAGCGTTTGGGGGACGGGCAGCGTGGGGGATGGCAGGCGGTGGAGAAAAGGAGGGGAGTTGGGGGGTGAGGGGCATATGGGCACAGGAGAGCTCTTCAATCCCTCCTGTCCTTATGACTCTCCAGGAAGAAATACAAAAGACACACACACACACACACACACACACACTTAAGGATAAGACCAGTGTAATCACAGCAGAGAGCGACTCGAGGCCAGAAAGACACAAGCTGCATTCAAAACCACCTACTATACAAGCAGTACGTACTGATTTGGCCTAAACGTAGCGTTTCCAGTATGCAAACAGCAAAATCTGCAGTGTGCCAAAAATACCTGGATGTCGTACTGATTTGGAAGAAATCTCCAGTATGCTCGTACTATTATCGTTATTAATGTAATCTTTCTTTAATTAGTAAGTCTCAACATCCGTTCACTGTTGAAATGGTGAACAGCAGCATCCCTGAGTCAGTGGTGCTCTGTCCCTGATAACAAGAAATACAAACAACATTCTGTATGTTGTGTTGTTTTCTTATTGACAGCTTACCAAGGTTAACATAGCTGTCTTCAGGATATCAAACGTTATCTTCTTAAGCAGGCTTAATAAGAGTTATGGCATATTTATGGGTAGAAGGACAAATGCAGCTAGCTAGAACGTTATGCGCGTTACAGATGGGCTGTTGCCCTGTTCTCCTCACAAGATTAAATTAAAGAAAAAAAAATGGCACTTAAATTTATATTCCTCCTATTGTTTACTTCCGCTTTCCAAAACCGGAAAATGACTAAACCTGGCCTAGGATACTATAAGATTAATTTAACAGTTTCATACTGCATAGTACTATGAAAAGCAGTATGCAGTACGTAGTGCATAATGCAGCCGCGGGTAGTATGTGGTTCCGAATACAGTCACAGAGTGTAATGGAGACGCTGAAGGAAAGGGAGTAAGTAAATGCCAGTGGAGATGAAAGCGAAGAAGAGCGAGACAAGAGGAGAGGAGAAGGACAAACGGCGTGACATTCAACCCATATCATTCACAAATCAAAAAGCGGGCCAGGAAAAATGATGCAAGACAAATTCACAGCTACAGAGCGCTATCCAGTCCTTCACGCCACCACACATTTCATGAAAGTGTTTTGACCTTTCATTTTAAGAACATGGGTTGCACAAAGTTGCACAAATTAGAAAGAGACGCTCACAAAAAACTTAAAACATGGTCATCATAGTATGTTTTAAGAAATGTTGAGTGTCAGTAGGAAACAGCTTCTCTTCAAGATAAAAGATAAGTATTTAAAAGGTCTTTCTCAACAGACAGCCTCCCGTGCTCACCTCCATGATGGGGTTGGAAGCCAAGACTTTCTCCTCTACATTGGCCTCGCTGGCGGAGCCGCTGACCGTGGCAAAGTACCTCATGGCGTATTTGGCTGACACTGTCTTTCCCGCTCCGGACTCCCCGCTCACAATGATCGACTGGTTCCTCTCATCCCTGCCACATCAAAAAACAACAACAAAAAAACTTGTCACCAGTCAGGAGAAGCTAAGTAGTGGCTCTGTTTGGCATTAAGTTTCAGTAGAAGGGTGTTTTAGCGTTGCTTTAGGATGATGCTTGAATTTGATGTGTACCAATCCTCTAAAGTTCTTAGAATGTGGCACAAACAATGCCAGGGCTAGGGCCTTGGACAGACAGAAGGTGCCAGATGCTTTCATCAAGAAACAGTTTCAATGCCTGAAGGCTGAACAGCTGTTAACACACCTTATAACCCCCTGTGATCCTCTGCACGCTTTAATATTGCAGCAAGCCTCCTTCCTCGTTATCCTAGGAACTGAGACAAAACCCTGATGCACACTGCCTCCTCCTACTGTGCCACCTTTTTTTGTAATAAACTCCCAGCTGCTGGTAGGGAGGTTGGGAGTTTGTTCCGAAAAATATATTGAAATTGGCATTTTCCACCTATGGGTCCTATTGCATCCTTAGGCCTTAGAGAAGTTAGGGTGTTTGCTTGAATTCACTGTTTCATTTCTTTCTTATACCTTGCAGTTTGCAGAGACGTTGAACTGTGTCAGGAACCGTTGCTGTTGTGGGGATGTGAAGCCTACTGAGACACTGTCTGTCAAACTGAGCTATACATATAAAGGTGCCTTAACTTGTATTAAGTCAACCATGCTCCATCATCCCCCGACTCCCACGACCCAAACTATCAGACTATTGATTTAAATGATTCATCTCAGTAATATAACTAATTGAATTTGTTATATCTTAACAGAACAGGCCTTTGCAGTTAAAGCCCCCAGACTTGGGAAACCCTCTGCCCATTGAGAGGCTCTCACACTGGACATTGGACATACTGAAGGGTCACTCCGTGCTGCCAGCTTTGACTAACACCGCCTTGTGTGAGAGGAGAAGGGAGGGAGGTCTTGGTGCTGATTAAACTTGGTGCTATTGATATTGGTATACAGTACTGTTAGTATACATGTGTATGTTAGTGTCCCAGAGGGCAGCCAAAGAGATCATTTGGTTTGCTCCTGTAAGATAAAAGGTAGGGGTGTGTGTGTGTGCGTGATTAAACGAGCAAGCACCGTGAGCCTATTTCTGGATCAGCTTTGACCTACAAAACCAAAAGAGAGTGGGAGGGCTGAACAGCAAGGAGACTAGAACCAAGGCTACTCAGGTAACACACACACACACACACACACACACACACAAACCTGGCCATCTGCTTGTACGCCTCCTCTGCCACGGCGAAGATATGTGGGTCCATGTCTCCCATGTTCTGACCGCTGTAGGCATTGATGATGTCTGCTCCGTAGATTGGCAGAGTCTCATACGGGTTGATGGCCACAAGAACGATTCCTACGACACAAACCGCAGATGAAGTATGAGCTTACATGAAGCTGAACTGGACCGCACTGAACAGCGAATACAATGAAAATAAACACTAAATGAAGCACATCTCATGCTGTGTACTTACGCTCATGAACGTAGATTAACTGTAAACAATACTTTACAATAATAATGGATTAAACATAATAATATTTATATGTTTGCAAAGTTACATAAGTTTAAACATAGTTGATAAGCATATACAGCATTTCCAACGTTGAAAGGAGAAATTAAACAATGCTTGACTGACAATATAAATATAATAAAGATCATTTAAGGTCACAGGCACCAAGGCAATGAATAACTAACAAACTAAGTTGAGTTGCAGGTCTAAATAAAATTAATGGGTTTTTATTGTTTACAGTGGCTGAGGCATAAACACAATGGGAATCCGTGACAATCTCACCATTTACTGTAGAGGATCACTCAAGGTTTCCAAATTTTACAGATCGATTGTACGATGTTCTTATGCTGTTTGATTACGCAGATGTATCAGACATGTAAAGGTAGGTGTAAAGGAAACGGACTAACTCTCTTTCACCTGTTCTTGCCTGTAATATCAGTCGTTCCTTCTTTGCATTAACACTCCTTGAATATTAGATTTCATACCAAAACATGGCAACATACAGACGGGCTTCATTACCTACCGCAGTAAGTGTAGATAAGCTTGGAGTCCATGAAGCGGACTTTGAGGTTGTGCAGCACGGCCGGCTCGTGGAGGTAGCTGAGTGCTGTGAGGTCATTTTCGCCCACCAAGATGTCGGGGTTTCGCAGGTGAGGCAGGTTCTTCGTCTTGGGGTCAAGTTTGTGCTCAATGTTCTTTAGACGACCACGAAAACAGTGGGAACAGGAGAGCATAACAGAGAAACAGTACATTATTTTGTGTAACGCATGATACAACACTGTGAATTCATACATTAAAAAACAAACAAGAAGATGGTGGATCAGCGCAAATCTGACACATTTACATGGTACATATTAATATGACACCCTTATCCAGAGGCAATGTATCATATTGTGTTTTAAAATGTAAGGACTCACATAAATTTCAGCTTAGACTAAGGGCTGATGGATGTTTGACAGGTCCTGATATGATCTTTACCAACACCTGTCAGCCAATGAGATGCAAGTACTTTGTGACCATGTTAAAAATACAATACAGCTGTAATGTACGGATTTTCTCATCAGTCACCCCCCACTGTGCCAACAGACTACGTTCTATGTTTATACTCACCAAATGATGAGAGAGAAACATGCTAATTTTTATTGCTAAAAGGCAAAAGCAAAAAGGTTTTGTCTCCAAACATTAGGTTCAGTCAAGTTCTGCAATAAACAACATTGAGAAATTCCTTCCGGATGCACATCTGTAAGCTTCTTTACATGTTTGTCTGTTGCAGTTTTACAGGTCTGGCTGCCTGAGGCTGACCAACAGTGGAGAGCCAATCGTTAAGAAATAAAAAATCAATAACAGATATCTTCTCCCACTAAAAGTATTTATACCGTATTTCACACACGTTCTCAGAAATGTCATGAGACAGGCTACTGATTTGCCATGGCTCTGGAGCAAAACCACCAGTCGCTCAAAGCTGTGTAGTTTCGTATTAATCCTGTTTTCATCCTTACATTTTTTTATCCTTATTAAATGGATCTCTTTCTCTTTCTTATGCAGAGTCTGTTACAGCAAGGCTTTCAGCAAGCAAATTCAGGAATTAATTTGATTATCAGATTGCATCTTCAACAGCAGCTGTCTATCCCAATAAAAAACCATCCATCAAAGGCCGCACAATCAGATCTAAATATGTTCTTTTATTAATATAAAATGTTTGATTTTAAATCTGCACCAGCAACAGAATCCACAATGACAGGCACGGTGCTGTATTTCACAAAAAACTGTAAAACCCTGCACAAATGCCTTATTTCACAATGCAAATAAATTATTTTTGCAGGTGTTTGGGGGAATTTGACGCTGTCCTTCTGCTGAACACCGGTGGTGTAGTGGGCCTGTAAAGCCCACTGAGACAGGGTATGTGATAAATAACCGACTACTCTCCACCTGGCCTGGATTGCTTCCACAAATCTGTTGCTTTTTCTTTGGCTTATGGCCTAACTTTCCACCAAATTTCACTGAAAATGGTTGACAAGTTGTGCAGACATCAAAACAGCCAGAACCAAAAACATACAGTAAGCACCGTGATGGTACTGAGCGGTTTAAATATGAACACAACAATCATGAGGGGCAAATGTTCTTGCTAGTAGCATGCACTGAACAACAGGAGTGCTTGTTAATGATTGCTAGAAGAACTGTGTGCTTAAAACCAGTAGCCGCTAATGAGATCCAGCTCTCTGAGGTGTCTTTGAGGCAGAGAGAGAGAGACTGAGAATGCAACAAAAAGAGCTGAGAGGAGAAAATATAAAGAGGGAGAGACGGTTTCCTCCCCATCCCGCTCTTCCATTCATCCTCACCGTTCCATCCTCCAACATGAGCTGCAGAGAGGTGTCGCCATTTTTGTAGTCCTTGTTCAGCTCAGCAGACTTCCACACCTCCTTTGCATCGGGAATCCACACCCGAGCACGCTGAGAGAGAGAGGCAAACAGAAGGAAAGAAGAAAAGTTAGATAAAGACACATGTCACAGCACTGACCAAGAGTCAGGGTTGCTGGCATTTTACATTACCATCCAAAAGCCATCTTTGAGACTTTCATGCTGTAGTGGATAGGAGAATAATCTAAATCCTATCCTGTCACTTAAAAATGATCAGTTTAACCAAAGTACCCGGACACTCGCTACAAACGTACAGCATGGTTAGTACTAAAAATCTTACATCAAAGCAATCAAATCAACGGAAACCCCAGTCACAAATTAGTGTTCATAGAAACAAAATTAATTGTCCATAATTCATACATTAAATAAAAAGCCACTAGTTGTGTGTGTGTGTGTATGTATGTATGTACGCACAAGGTGAATCAGGTTGTTACATCCATTTAACTTAAGATAAAGCAGTTCAATTGAGTTTAGTTGTGAAAGTGATGAGTGTGTAGGTGTGTGTGGTTGTTTGGGGCTCTAATGTCCAAATTGAAGGCAGAAGGTGCGGCGTTAGGTATTCTGTACCTTAAGATGGGAAAGGAGGATAGAGCAGGCTGGACAGTTACAGGAAACTAGGCTTAGCTTTACAGGACTAACAGGACGAGGAAACTCCCAGCTGCACCCGAGCAGGTTGAAGAGGTAGTTAACACGGTTTATCCAAACCCACCTCAGAGACCAGCCCATTTTCCAACAGTCTCTTGTTGCTCAGTGAAGTACAAGTAATCCAGACACTGCCTCTCTGGTTCTTCCCAATTTCATTTTAGAGCTGGGATGCTCCCAAAACCCCAGCTCACAGGTGTGCCTATTTTATCTCCCCCTGCTCTACCTTCCTTCCTGTCAAGCACAAAAAGGGCTTTTCTGTAGTTCTTCAACGTGTTTAAAAGTTATATGACCCCGCCCCACTTCATCTAGTTTTCAAGCAGGCTGGCATAAACATTATTCAAGTCTCAAGTTTGCTCCACCTCAGTTGAACTAAAACCCTTTCAAAAAGAGGGAAAACAGGAAAGTTCACGTATACGTCTTCTTGTCTACTAAAACAGCATGACCTCACAGAAAACACTGGGTTTTATGTTTTCACAGTCGTGAGCACATGGCTCGTAATGGTCAGTTAAGTTGTGGGAACAAACTGTTGAACAAATAGCTGATTGTGGATATTGTGCGGTCATAACTTAAACTCCACACACACACACACACACACACACACACACACACACACACACACACACACACACACACACACACACACACACACGTTCACTATAAAACTGTTTCAGGCCTTACAGACTTGTGACCAGAGGCAATCAGCTGATCACAGACATGTGGAATAACAGTGATGAACACTGGCAGTCACATGGCTGAGGAATCCAGCTCACAAACATAGATGCACAGGCGCGCGCACACACACACACACACACACGCAAAAAACTTACTTCTAATGGTTTGCCGGATGCCTGTGCAGCGATTGGAGGATTGAGAGAATCGCAATGTGGCCTTACAAACCCAGACAGATGAGGCCTGCAGTGGGCGGGTGTGTGTGTGTGTGTGTGTGTGTGTGTGTGTGTGTGTGTGTGTGTGTGCGCATGTGAAGACAAAAGTCAGCAGTTAAACAACACTGAAAGTTGTTTTGCAGTATATCTGAAATCACATAAGCTGAAAGAGACAGAGAACAGACTCTATCCACTTAGTTTTGTAAATGAATCAATGGCGTAAATAAATGATAACTCTCATAAAAGAAAGCAGATAAAACTCCTCATCTTTTTGTCTTTGTTAAAGCCTTATTCAGGGGTTTGGAAACTAAAGCTTTGACGTGTTTGTAATAATCTCAACATGAATGAGGATTTTCACTTTGCTGAGCCTCATTTATTTCAAACACTAAGAGCATTATGAACACATACACTGAAGTTATAATATAATGTGAATGACACTTTCTTATGAGGACTTGGGCAACTGAAGCACATGACGAGAATCTGTCTGGAAGCCCAACATCGATTTCGTGGCATCTTTTGGCTTCCTTACATAAACTGCTGAGGACGATTTCACAGAGGCGAGAGAGAAAGACCTCATTGTAGAAGAGCACAACAGGGGAGAAACTGGTTAATTTGGCCTGCTGCTTCACTACCAATCATCTGAATCATGACATCATGGTCACACACACACCCTCATCCTTCCTCTCTCACAGTCTGCCTGTCTCTTGCTCTTCGTATTAAGGAGAGTACGGGTGTGAAATGGCAGCTACAGGCTCTCAGAGGACGAAGGAGAAAGAACGCAGAAATCAAAGACAAAGTTTCTAGTTTTGTTGACCCCAATACCTGAGTATTATTCTGTAACCTCTTAAAACTGAGCGCCAGAAACAAACTATATCAAATCTATTTGTCATCTGTGAATACAGAGCCTTAATGGACGTGTTCGAAAGCGTTATTCAAGTGGTTTTCTTCACAGCTCCACCCCCACCAAGCCCCCAGGTTGTCCCAGTTTTCTCTTTCTCTAATCCTTTTCTCTCTCCCCACCCCTGCAGGAACACCAAACACTGTGATCAGTGTGGTTAGGTAGTGCACCGTGTGGTTTAGGTTTGCCATTGAGTGACAGTTACAAAAGAAGCAAGGCAGGCTGTGCAAGACAAATCTGAAAAACTGAAAAGAAGTCAAGGCCTATGGAAATATACAGGCAAAACGTAAATGACAAACTAATGAGGTGGCAAGAGGTGTGTGTTGTAATGCTGACAGTGTGTTAATTACAATGAGAGTTTAATAAAATAAATAAAAAAAAATTTTTTTTAAATATAACCTGACGACTTAAACACACATTTTTCATCCAATTCCCTTCAATTCAGTTTTATAAGAACTGGGACCACTATACAGTATGTAATGACATTTAACATTTAAAACTAAACTTGTGAGTTCCCTGTTGGACTGTGTAATGGTGACACGGTAAAATTACAATAAACATTTCTTTGACGTGCCGAGATTTCTTGTTAATTATCAGCAGGCACATATGCTGATATGAATATAAGTGTGATGCAAATGCATTTTCAGAAAGAGAGATAATGAGTGTTGTGTTGCTTGTATGTGTGCAGTCAAACACCCAAGATATCTGCGACGTCAAACATCGCTGTTTTACTCCTAATTAGAGATTGCTTTTTTTCCAATTACAATAGATTAAATGAAAACAACTGAACCGACATTTAAATTGTTGCAATTTCTATTATAAGCACTTTCATTTGCCAATAAACAATCTGTGCAATAAATAGCAATAGTAATACAACATTTACATTAAAACACATTCCTTCTATGACAATGTTTGGAAATGTTGTATTTACATCTGCCTGCCAAAACTGACAGATTTATTTATCTATCTGCTCTTCAGTCGCAAGTTAAAACTGGTGTTTCAAAATATTACCCAAGGCATGTCTTTTTTTACGAAAAGTATCAGGGGATTGTTACAACACAGAGCTTTTCTAATGTAACACAGAAGTCATTTACTGGAGCACACTGCTGATGGATATATAAAGATGTATTAACAATTAAGATGTTTTATTATACATGCACAGCACTGTTGCCATTAGCTGGTTAGCTCAGTTAGCGGTCAAATTAGCTGTCTCTACCTGGCCTGGGAGCTCAAAACACTGTGGGAGTGTTGGTGTTTGTTTATACCACCAGCACAGGAGCTTTGGACTGCCGAGGGGAGGACGTTTTTAGGCCCCAAGCACGCGACCCACCTGGGAATACTGAAGGGGAGAGGCACCGGAATTAGCACCAGAGCCGGAGCATTGCGAGTGGGCAACAGAACTGGTCTTAGCAGCCTCTCAGTTAACACGGTGTACATATTGTAAAATTTGGCACAACTATCAACTACAATCAATCTGTAAAAACACTATATTTCTGCATTTCTGGTTAGATGCTAACTGCATTTCTTTAGCACAAGCTACTTAATAGGGAACAAAATGGGCCAACTGAATACCATGGGCTTATATTTACACATACAGGCAAACATAGTGCCTGCTTCTCAATCACTCTACCCATTCCACCATTTCCTTAGTTGTTTTTTGGTCCCCACAGGAGACTGTCCCAGCATCCAGCCTCCCAATGGAGAGAGGGAGAGAGAGAGAGAGAGAGAGAGAAAAGGGAAGAGAGGGAGAGACAGGGAGGAGGAGGAGGACAGAGGCTAAAAATAGCATCAGTGAGTTCTGAGCAGCATCACACCTCACAGAGACATCACTGTGCTACTGAGCACACTTCCTGATCCTCATACCCATCCACACACACACACACACACACACACACACACACACACACACACACACACACACACACACACACACACACACACACACACACACACACACACACACACACACACACACACACAAGTAGGTGTCAAGCACGATGATCCTGAATTAGTTAACTCTGAAAGATGCCATCAGTCTACCCATTTCATTTATTTTCTTTCCTCTTGGACCAAAACACAAACACACACATAGAGAGAAACATAATGCAGCAGCAGAGGCTATGAATCATATTTATAGACCAACACATTCCCTTGGGATCGGAAAACAGAGGAGAGATGAAGGATGAAAGTCAACCACACACACACACCGATAGACATTTACATGTTTCAAGGACATAATCGTCCACAATGAAACACAAGCTGAAAAAAAAGAAGTGAAGGCTGCAGAGAAAAAAATGTGATGAGTCAGAAAGCAGCCTCTCTGTAGGCTTACAGAGGGATGGATGATGGCCACGCTGGTGTGTTATGGGCGGCACACGAAGAGGAGCGGGGTGACGAAAAAGAAGGAGAAAAGACGCCAGAGCATCTGTGACATCAGAAATCACATGACTAAAGTGTCTCTGCATTGAGCTCCCCCGACATAAGCCGCATGCATGAGTCTACACACCCAAGCAGCCAGTGAGAGGCTACATTTTGTTTGTAGGTCTGTAATTATTCTTTACCTCGGGGCACTGGGTGTGGTCACACACTTATGGTAGAGTCACGTC